CCAATGCAAACAAACTGATCACCACTGTTGTTCGATTGCCAATGAGGAAAGATGACCCTTACCTACAAGCAAATATCACGGCAAATCTAGTTTTAATGGTAATGATATAATGGCTTGTATGCTTGCTCTCGCCCGGATAGGTCTCTCTCATTACACTATCAGCAGGAGCAGAGTGAGTGATGCATGTGTCCCTTGTTGACTGTTCAGAAAGAGCCCTCTCGACATGAGCAGGAGGTCAGGTCTTTGTTTGGCTGCCATCAGCACATGCAGCCTCCCTGGGCGCTCGGAGGGGGTCTGTCCCGAAACACAAGCCGCCCACGAACACACGACCAGGGCAGGTGCCAGTGCGCGCTCTGCTCTGTCTCTGCCACTCTTGGTGCTCAGAGGGCACATCGGGCTGTCACTGTGCAGGCGTCAAGCTTCAGCCGGTCTTGGCATCTGTCATTGTACAAGGTCATTTACTGTAATCTATATCCTGTTATAGTATTCATACATGCATCTCCTGATATAACTTTCCCTTATCGATCACTCCAATTAAACCTAAAACACTTAAAGATAAAAAAGAGGTCATATAAATACCTTGCAAGAGAGGTCATCAAGGCTAACTGGAGGTACTGCTCTTTCTGAAGCTCTATTACTCAAATTAGACTGAACTTTGTTGGAGCTACAACATTTAAGCAGATTGCATGAAGTCATCTTAAATGACATTAAAGTCACAAGCTAGTCCATCCATCAATTTTCTTCCGCCCCAGATAAGCAGAAGAAAATGGATCGATGGATGTGTCACAAGCTAGTAACAAATTTTCAATTGGTCACATTCACCATGTTTATTAAAAAAGTAAATGGGACTACGAAGGCTCTGTTGCAGGCAAGATGTGTGAAGTGCTTGCTCATTGACCCAACAATACACTGTGCCAGTGGTAAGACTGAAATGCCACATCAGTGGGAAGATCTTTAAAATGGTCCATTCAAGTTTCATAATGACTCAGGGCATGTTTGTTTTTCTGTGGCTTATGACACTTAATACTAGTATGACTAATACTAATATGATGCAGGACATGCAGCTAAATTGTCCAGAGTGAATACATGCCACACTGACAGTTTGTTATAGATATCTTCTAATGGCACCCCTTTATACAAAAAGTAAAACTTGTTTCTTGTGTAAAGGCTCTATAACCTGGTTCTTAAAAACAGACTGGAATAAGTACAATCATACACATCACTATATTGCCCCTTGAAGTAAAATAGGCCTTCTTGAGAGACACTATTGGTGAATCATTCAGACAAAAAAATATTCTTGCCAATTTCAGTTCTTTGACATTGTGTTCATGCTTTTCTCTACAAAAAAAATCTAAGTGATGATTCATTCTTTGATTAAGGGTACACTTGAGAATTTCCTGCACTATGGTATTAAACCTCTCCAAGGCCAAGTAAAATTTTTCTTTCTTTCAATTTTTATTTCTGAGGTATAAAAATACTTATTATTGAAAAAATGCTAGATAAGATATACATTTAAACCCATACTGTGACACATTTCAGGCAATGCACCTTTTTGTGTTTATTTTTCATATGATTTATGATGTCATTTACAAATTGCCCGACTATTGCTCTGCTCTAGAAAATGCAGAGAAACCGCTTTGGGATATTCACCATTTATGTCCACAAATGTCAGCGGCATCAGAAAGAACACGACAAAGCAAATGGTGACCTTTTAACGGGCAGCTCTGGCAGTGAGTTTGGGTGCGACGTCTCAACAGGTCTTGGCATTTGTCATTGTAAAACATTGGAACTGTCTGTTTGTTGGCAAGTGGTGCAGTGTGCAGTGTTGGTGGTGAGGAGCTCCTGGCCTCAAACCAAGTGGGATGTTGACACAAAGGGACAGATGATATACAGGCTCTTCATCAGCGTGTGGAGAAACAAAGGATCAGTGCCTCTGCAGGAAAGGAGGATCTGAGGGAGAAGGCTGGAGACGCTCTGCTTGTTCTTAGACACGTTTCCTGGCCCGGTCAGTGCATTTGTCTTTGCGTGTAAATCCAGTGAAGCAAAACCACCATCAAGGAAGTAATTGTCTAACTTGGGCATTCCCAGTGTCAAGAGAGCGGTCTCCTTATTTCTTGCAAAGAGGCCTGTGAAAGATGGGACTGTAGTCTATGTAATGTTTTATTCACAGTCAGTTGTTTTAAACATTTTCACATCAATGATGGCATTAAATACTGCTTCAGAGTTGTTGTTTTTGTTTTTGTGTTGTTTTTTTGCTTATAATTGAGACCATACTCTGAACTAAACCCACGAATATCGACTCGGCCAGGACACGGCCAGGATTCGACCAGGACTTGGCTAGGACTCGACCAGGATCAGAACCCAACCAATATCAGAACCAAACGAAAACCAAACCAGTTCAGGGACAAGCGTGAACTCTGCCATAGATTGTAGTTTTAACTAAAGTAACTTCTTAGTCACAGCCGATTACGTCAAATAAAATGAACATAATATGTAACATTACATTAGTTGTGTGTAAGATTTTAATACAAATTCTAATGGCTATTCAAGTCTTTCCTTTGCTTTTACTACTAGACAAGACCTGAACAAGAAAACATATGTAGTCTTTAGTTTACACCAAACTAATGCATGACTTTCTTGCACACAAAGGGTTGGAATACACCTGTGAAAAAATAGCTGAAAAATATTTATCCTATTACAATATACCAGGCCATGTGTCTTTTTCATTTGAGAGCCATGTAGTGTGACCTTTTCCTTTGTAAAGCTCCCATTCACGCACCAATTGTTCCAAGTTGGATCTCTCCCTCTGTCCTTCTCAGAAAAGCCCTGACTGCCTTTTTATTGGTCAAAGCCTGTTGACAGATCAGGACTGGCTCAGCTGTTGGACATACATTTACTGTCCAAGGTTGAACTTCTCAGAAAATCTCTCAAATTTAATAGGTCTTTCATGTCGATCCATTGTGATAGCTGGCAGGATTGTATTACAAAACATTTATTTACCTCCTTTTTGGATATTGCATATTATAGTTATGGTTAGGGTTGTAGTTGAGCCACTCACCATTTTTTGTCCTCAAAATCAAAGTCAAAGTCACTTAGCTGTCAGACTCAAGTCCTTAAGAGTTGAAATCCTAGTTGTTTAAGTATTGCATTTGGATTTGAGATGTTTTAAAAGATGATATTGACATTGATATTTGAGAGAAGAAATGTAAAATACTAACATATAAACTAATTCAAGAACCCTTCAGAAAGTAGAGGTCTAAACAACAATATATTTTTGTGTTCTATATCAGATGTTCTTCTATTATCTAGATAAATTTTAAAAAATTTGCACCAACTGAAATTGCAATTTTGATTATGATTAATTGTCCAAGTCAGTCCATTTAAGAAAGGTTTTCTTTTTATTTTATACACTGTACTCACTCAGTGGGCACTACTCTGAATACTTACAGCTTTACTCTAAGTTTGATCGGAAAATAATCTAAAAATCTTCAGAGGTTTGCAGAATAAGGACTGTACAATATCTAGTCAAGCCCAGGTTTTGAGTCTTTGGTAATTAAGTCCCCGAAGTGATTTTAGAAAACAAGTCACAAGTCTGAGTCTATGGTGACCTTTTATGTTGTAGAAATGATTTTAATAACAGATACATAACATAATAACTTAAATTGGTCCATACTGATTTCTTAGTTTTTGCTCTTTTGATAGGAACTGTCCGTGGATAAAAGTGTGTATATAAACTAAGCATGCACACTAGGTTTTCATCCAATTAGTGACATCATGTGGCACCTTTTTCATCGTGCATTATCTCTTGTAGTAACTCCTTGGACGCGGTTCTCATTTATAACTAGCTTAAATGTTAAGGCTGGTGGAAGTGTGCCATTTCCCTATTTCCTGGAGCCTTTTTGTGCCAATGGAAGCCAAAGTGGGTCAGCTTCGTGCTCTGTTCCCAAATCAGCCGTCCCCTCTGAGACTAGCCCATTACGGCTCACAGCAATTTTGTTTCCTCCTTTTTATTTGGTTGTTCTTTTTCTCCCCTCCAAAGACCCGATAGAACTGCTCAATGGTCTCCCAATAATGAAGCTGCTTTGCCAGTTTACTCCAGACCTGAGCCACCACCAACAGAAAACTCACAGTAATCTATCTTATCAAGTTAAAAGTAAAAAAAAAAAAAAAAAAGTGTTTTGCTAGATGTGTGAAGTTTTAAGTTTAAGTTATTTTAACTACTCTTAAACCCAAAATACTATATTTGTCAGGGAAAGAAGTTGTAGTTGTAATTAGGACTGCACGATATTGGAACATTTTATAATATGTGATATGGCTATTAAGAATTGTGATATCGATATTTAATATACATTTGACTCAATCATTTCAAATACAATAAAACAAAAAAAAAAAACAAATTTGAAATGCTTTCATGTACTCGTGAAATCAAGGCACCTTTAAAATATTCTTTAACAAAGTGCATCAGTGCATTTCTATCAGATGGATAACCTTGGCGTTATTGCGTTATATTGAGTGTGTTATGATATTGATTTTTGCATCAATCAATATCACAATATTGATATATTTGCAATATATTGTGAAGCCCTTATTGTAATAATATTGTCACGATACAAACATTTCTAATAAGACTGGATGTTTTTACACAAAATTTATTTCACAGTATATTCTGGATTATTTATATTTTTCCTGCCATACTAAGTACAATTTACAACCCCTCTTATTTGTTTTGTGTTTTCTGCAGAGAACACTTTACTGTCCTACCTATCTTTTTTTATTCATTTTTGGAATCCATCATCCTCACCCAAACCCCAGACCCCATAAGCTCCATGGTTGACTGCTCAAATAATTTAAGACATTTAATTTTCATAGCAGAGCCCAGCATTAATCTTTGCCAAAATGATAATAAACCTGGTAGTGTTATCAGTGACATTGATAAAGTGGTCTACTCAAATGTTATATTGTGCATTGATATACATGTTGTCATTCTGTGTTTTTTCTAGTTGGGGACAAGGTGCCTGCTGATATCCGGATCTGCTCTATCAAGTCCACCACTCTGAGGGTCGACCAATCCATTTTAACTGGTGAGACTGGTGCTTTAAGTGTCTGTAAAACCAGCTGTTAAAGGTCCATTATGTAACTTTTCTGTCACCTGCTTGTTTCTGTGGATTTGTCATTGCGCTGTCTGGAATGTTTCACAGTGTGATATTAAACAGTTATACCTGTTAGCTCAAAAATACCTAGAAAAACAAGCATTGTCACTGTGAGAGGTGTTGCCTCTCCACAGGCCTGACCTGTAATTTGGTCTAGATTGGCCTCCATGGTGATAGAAAAGTTTAATGCCATTCTGTTAAACATTCCAGACAAAGCAATAAAATCTCCATGGAGAAAAGCATTTGACGAACCCTCCACCAGAAAAGTTACACAATGCACCTTTAAACACACAATGATAAATCTTGTCGCTTTCACAAACTTATTCAAATATATTTTCTTTTGTAGGAGAGTCTGTGTCTGTGATCAAACACACAGATCCTGTACCTGATCCTCGGGCCGTCAATCAGGACAAGAAGAATATGCTGTTTTCTGTAAGTTTTACACATGTCACAAATTATATCTCCTCTAAATATGTGTTTTATTCATCCTTAAGTTAGTATTCTACTGTGCTTAAATACCCTGCAAACTTGCATGAATCCATACATGGTCATTAAACTGCCTGAACTGGGTAGAGTGTGAAAATGTGAAAATGCAAACAGAGCAAGTAATGCATCATTGCTCCGTAATCATGTTACAATCAAGTTAATAGTTGATTATATTAGATAAGATCAATACTTGTTTAACATTAAGTTTTGCTACTGCTACCACAGGAATAAGTTATTTGCTTAAAGGCGCACTGCACAGCTTTTTTGGTGTAGGGTCCGCCAGCTGCTTGTCTCTATGGAAATGTTATTGCTTTGCCTGGAACGTTCCACTTTAAATATATCCCAGTACATCTAGCATTTATTCAATACAGGTGTTTCTGTTGCTCAAAAATACAGTTATTCCTTCTGTGAACAGGGGCGACTTTCCACAGATCTGGCTTATAATGTAGTGTAGGGCTGCAACCTGCTTGTCTCCCTCATGATAGAGGTTTAATCTATACTGTAGAACATTCTAGACAAAGCAATAGTATTTTCATGGAGACAAGCAGGTGGCGGACCTTCCACTAGAAATATTATGCATAGTAACTTTTAACTATAAAAATGTCATACCCAAATACTATGGAGAAACTTAGGATTCACTTGTACTGCTGCAATGCTGACATACAACATTATATAACCAACCAATCACCATTATATCTATGAAAATGAATTGCATCTCTCTTTTTTTCCAGGGCACAAACATCGCTGCTGGCAAAGCCGTGGGCGTCGTCGTGGCTACAGGTGTGAACACTGAGATCGGGAAGATTCGTGACGAGATGGTCGCCACGGAGCAGGACAAAACACCTCTGCAGCAGAAACTGGACGAGTTTGGGCAGCAGCTGTCCAAAGTCATCTCTGTCATCTGCATCGCCGTGTGGATCATCAACATTGGACACTTCAACGACCCTGTGCATGGGGGGTCCTGGATCCGGGGGGCGGTATACTACTTTAAAATCGCCGTGGCTCTGGCTGTGGCTGCTATCCCGGAGGGGCTGCCCGCTGTCATCACCACCTGCCTGGCTCTGGGGACACGCCGTATGGCAAAGAAAAATGCCATCGTCAGAAGCTTGCCCTCCGTGGAGACCCTTGGCTGTACCTCTGTCATCTGTTCTGACAAGACGGGGACACTGACCACCAACCAGATGTCCGTGTGCAGAGTGAGTGCATCCAAAAACACACACGTATACACATACACATACACCTAAACACATATACACATACATACACATACAGTACAAGCACACATAAGCCGGTGAGGGGTTGGAACAATGGTCACTTATTTACTGTCTATGTAGTCCCTCAGTCGTCCAGGTAAGGTCTACAGTAAAAACAGGCTGAATTCTGTTAATTGGACAAAAGTTTTTAGGGTGAATATTCTGTTTCTTATGCCATGTAGCTTATTTAGTTCTGAAAAAGCTACTTGGCATGAGTGGTGAAATGATTTCACGACAAAACCCTTTGTCCAATTGACAGAATTCAATTAAATATTTACTGGTGATTTTGAATTCCTGTGGTGAAACCAAGAAAAAATAAACTTTTGCCTAAATGTGATCTAAAAATCAAAAAGAAAGTTTTGGACATCGACCATCTGAGTGTGCTATGCATTATTTTCCATTTTTGAAATTACTACTCCTTGCATTTTTGTTCAGTGGTGTGTGTTTTCTGCTTTTTGTTTCTGATTTGATTTTAAATTTCTAACATTTGAGATTTACATTCATTATTTATTTATTTTTTCATGTTTTGAATAGAGATTTATCATGGTTCCCTTGCCATTCTCTCATTCATTGGTTTCAAGTTTCTGTGCTATGAGACATTTTGAGGATGCAATACAAAATAAATTGTTAATTGTCATGGCAGCAGTTCTAATGACATAAAGCTGTCACAGTGCTTACAATTAATGCTTACTGTAGTGCTTAGCTACTCTAGAAATAGATGTTACTTGAGTACTATGTAATGTGAAAGGGTTGCATGAACATTTTGTGAATCAAATTTAAAAATGATAATCTTTGCCTTAATTTCACACATAGGTAATTTTATTGACGTAAAATCCTAATACCAATGTCTAGCCCCCTCTGCAGGACAACACTGACATAACGACTAGACATGAGGCTTTATGAGGGAGACTTGACACATTTGGTGCAATGCTGAGTAGCTTGGGATCTTATTTGTTTTTTTCTGCTCCTTTTCATGTTGGATAAAGTTGACAGCTTCCCAAATGCAAATAGAAACATCCGGGATTTCTTCTTGACATTATTTAACGGAGCTGTCTGTAATCTCAACAAAGTGCTGGTGCTGGTGCTGCTGTTGCGTAACTTTTCCTGCGTCACAAAGAAAAAAAAACTGGCTAGCATTTCCTCTCTCTCCTCTCATCTGTGAGTGGCATCATACTGCACCATGGCCCAACGCAGAGGAGATAGATCAGCGTTTATTAAACTTTTATCCTTTTAGTGGTCCTGACTCGGAATAGGCTTAGTGGCAAGGGTATTATCCCGGTTTGCTGGGGTCCAATGCTGCAGTGGCACTGATAAAGCACTAAAGCCATTACTTCTGCTTTTGGTGATTTAGAGGCTGCTACTGTGAGCCATTCATTAAACCAGAGAAAGTCGTGTTTATCTCTGGGGCGCTGAAACCCTTTGAAGATGTATTCAGTTTGCCGGGGGAAATAAATTGTCTGCAGTTTTCTCTACATTATAATACTCATCACAAGCTCTGCCTTTCTATGTTTTGTATTCAGATTTATGGCTCAAAGGCAGTGGTGGAAGGTAACAAAATAAAAGTAGCTAAAAATACTTAAAATACCTAAAAATTCTACTTAAATACATTTTACAGTGGATACTTTTTATTACTTTAGTTTAAAACTGTAGTGGAGTAGAAAGTACAGATACCTGTTTTCAGATGTAGTAGACTGAAAAGTATTTTTCAAATGATTTTAAGGATTTTTTTTTACTATGTTTGTAGTAAGATCCTAAAGGTTTTGAGTTCAAACTTCGGCTTTCAACAAACAAAAATAAATACATTAATTTCATAAGGAAAATTAAGACACTGATTCATACTGCAGCAGCTGACCAAGATATGTTTTGACCAAGATATGTTTTAAATCAATTATAAATAATAGATTTTCATTAATATCACTACATTTGAACAAATTAACACTTGTGTGAAGTATTTTTACTTTCTACTCAACTTAAAGTACATTTTTAAATAGCTATTTTAATACTTTCACGTAGATTTTTTTCGTGTGATAGTCTTACTTTTACTTGAGTAAATTTTGCCTCCATATCTACTTTTACTTAATTAACAAGATTGAGTACTTCATCCACCACTCCTTGAAGGTGCACTATTCAACTTTTCTGCTGGGAGCTGGGCCACCTCTCCACAGACTGGACCTGTAAAAGTCTCCTTGTGGTCTCCTTGGAGATGTTTTTGCTTTGCTTGGAACTACAAAATTTGAATTGTTGCAACAGAGTGGTTAGTTCAATTCCTGACCGGGACAGGAGCATTTGCATGTTCCTTCTCTGCTCTGGTGGGTATTCTCAGGCTCCTCAGGTTTCCCCCTTCAACCACAAAACCATTCACACTAGACTAATCCTTGGTACTTTTAACCAGGATCTTGGCATCTGATCTAAAGGGCACTGCTCCTGACCGGTTGCCCTAGTGACATTGATGGATGGGTCACTTTCCCAACTGGGACAAAAGTCTACCTCACCTCAGAAAACTAGCTGTTATGTCACTGAGCACTTGTGTCTTTTTAGTAGATGGCCTTTTATGGGCTGGTGAGGCTACATAATTGTACTGAATTATATTTTACAACTTGAGAACTCTTATGTTCCCGGACAGCAAGCCTCCAATATGAAATACAGGGAGCGTTACACTGTATGCGATTGGTGGATCTACATAGAATTTTAAATGATGGAATCAGATTGAATAAAAAAGTCCATCTCAGCTGAAACTTTTGACTAATCTCTAGGGATGTGTAGATCCAGCTTTTTTCAGTTCAGACACAAATATTGATACTTTTTCTCCTGCCAATACCTAATATTAACCAATACCAGTGTAGGGACAGAAAATGGCACTTATTTCCTTAAAACACAGGATAAATAACAGTTGTGTAAACTGTTATTTATCCTTTAAGTCACTGCAGAACAGCTTTATATAAATAAAAGTCATGACACTGACATGTCAAATATTATGGGTCAAAATCAGCCTGTAAATAGTCCATTCATCCACATCCAATCAGGATATCGGCTGAATCGATATCATGGAACTGATACCCTATATATATTGGTGAATCCGTACTAATCTCCTACCTGGCCCTAACAAAACCATCACCCCATCATTGTTTATACTGAACAGACCTCTCGTCTTTTTGAGCTTAGGTAAATTCCCAGTGCTACTGCCACCTGCTGTATAAACATAAAACTGCGATGCTGCTATAATTGATGTCCGATTATGGGAAAATTGAAGTTTATTTTTGTTTTGCAGATGTTCATCCTGAACAAAGCTGAAGGGGACAGCTGCTCCCTGAGTGAGTTCACAGTCACAGGGTCGACCTACGCTCCAGAGGGAGAAGTGTGAGTGCAACATAAACATCAGTCTTCTATGTCCCAGAGCAGGAAATGTAACCTGTTTAGCAACTCACAGACCATTTATTTAGGTTCCCACACAAACTAATTTAGCTAGCAATGTGTTTAGAACAGTCAGTATTATTTTCTGTAATTTGTCACCTTATAATGACTGAAAAACAATGGACTTCAGTTCTTCAGTTTCCTGTTATAGATGGGATTTTGAGGACTTTTCACAATTCATATGATATATGTTGCATTAAATTGTCAGTTGTTCTAGCAATGGTCATTCTGAAACTTATGGATACAACAGTAAACTGTTCATTTATTTGTAGATATAATTAATGAGTATTGTTAAGGGTTTTATTTTTTTGTTTTTAGTTATCAAGATGGTAAACAAGTAAAATCCTCCCAGTTTGATGGTCTGGTTGAGTTGGCGACAATCTGTGCTCTCTGCAACGACTCATCTTTGGATTTCAATGAGGTAAAATGTTTTAATCTTACAGCTCTAGTATATACAAGTGAAACTATGTGTTTCTACTTGTAAACTTGAGTCATGTTGTATTCCCAGGTGAAAGGAGTGTATGAGAAGGTTGGCGAAGCCACAGAGACGGCCCTGACTTGTCTGGTGGAGAAAATGAACGTGTTTGACACTGAAGTGCACAGCCTGTCCAAGATTGACCGCGCCAACGCCTGCAACTCTGTGAGTGACACTGGTCCCTCTGCGGCACATGCTGCACTTTGTGTGTCTGATTCAGCACATGCACCCAGCATGCACTGGGGAGGTCATCAGAGCCTCTTTTCCACTGTTTTGTTTCGCTTGGAGTGGGTCTGTTTGGAGCGGGTCAATCCAGCCCAGTCCCGACCACGGCTCTGGGTCGAGGGGCAGGGCTGTGCTCCTTGAGACACTGACATCACCCAAATATTACTCATGTTTTATTAATAAATAAAATCTATATTGTTGCTGGTTTTGTGGTGCTGTGAGATGAGGCTAAAGCTTTTTCTGCATTTATTTAATTTCTCTGCACCTCTGCACAACCCGTTAATGGGACTACAGATGAAAATTAGCCTGTATAGCTAACTCTGGCACATTTACATGCTGTACTAACACTTGTTGATTATGTGCCTTGTCCCATATTTAAAAAAAATAAACCTAAATGTTTTAACATGTTTTATGTAATGAATTGGGTTTGGTTCATGTTAGATGCATTATGCACTGGAAATAAAATGTGTTCAGTCATTGCGTGAGTGGTGCATCCATAAACAGGAAACAGCTGTTACATGTGTGCTAGCTTTGTTTTGGGGAGCATGCAAATTGCCATAATTGGAAATACAGCAGTTTATCACAAGGTCAAGTCATGAGACAACTGGAGACACCCGCGACCTGTTCCGAGCCGATCTAAAGTGAACCATTGGAAACAAGGCTCATTTTGAGTTTTAGTGTTTAATGACCAGTGTTAATACATAAATACTGATTGATTCAAAATATTTAAAGTATTTATTTATATGAACAAATTATTTTTTTATAATTGTTACAATGGTAAATATTTAAGTAATAATGATTAATATATTGTAATATCTTTAATCCCCATTTATGATTAATTCAGCTTGTGGTCTTTGTGAAACAGGTCATCAAGCAGCTAATGAAGAAGGAGTTCACACTGGAGTTTTCTCGAGACCGAAAGTCCATGTCAGTGTACTGCACCCCCAACAAGTCCCGCTCGTCTGTGGGCAAGATGTTTGTCAAGGTAAGATCCAGTTCGATGGATGACACATGACTTAATCAGATCTGGTACAGTCACGTCCATCCACAAAAGTGACCCTCCAGAGAGAAAGACCTGAACTTTATACTAATCTGTTTTTCATTCCGACAGGGGGCCCCAGAGGGAGTGATAGACAGGTGCACCCACGTCAGAGTGGGCAACAACAAAGTTCCTCTGACCAAAGGCATCAAAGAGAAGATCCTGTCTGTGATCCGTGAGTATGGAACAGGCCGAGACACACTGCGCTGCCTTGCCCTGGCCACAAGAGACACTCCCCCAAAGATGGACGACATGATTCTAGCTGATACTGCCAAGTTCTCAGACTACGAGGTATGAAAATGAATCTCTCATAAGCATGGATGGAGTAGAAATATTAACAATTCAGTTTTTTGTAACTTGTACAAAAGGATGTAGATATATACATTTGTAATTTTTTATATTCTTGCTAATTAATTGGATTTCACATGTGTTACTAAATTATGTTCATGAGATAACATTATAAAAGGCAGTTCTACCAAACTGTTCATAATACCCAAAAGATAAACTAAAAGTTAAGTTGCGTCTTCTCTTGTCCAGTCCGACCTGACGTTTGTGGGCTGCGTGGGGATGTTGGACCCTCCCCGACAGGAGGTGGCGGCCTCTATCACACTGTGTCGCCAGGCCGGCATCCGAGTCATCATGATCACCGGGGACAACAAGGGCACAGCAGTGGCCATCTGCCGCAGGATCGGTATCCTGACAGAGGAGGATGATGTGGAGAAAATGGCCTTCACCGGGCGAGAGTTTGATGAGCTTTCTCCAACCGCTCAGAGGGAGGCTGTGACCCGCGCCCGCTGCTTCGCCCGAGTCGAGCCCTCACACAAGTCTAAGATTGTGGAGTATCTGCAGGGCTTTGATGAGATCACAGCCATGGTGAATGCTACACTGTTTACACACAGAGACACACACACAGAGACACACACAGAGACACACACACAGAGACACACACACAGAGACACACACACAGAGACACACACACAGAGACACACACACAGAGACACACACACACAGAGACACACACACAGAGACACACACACAGAGACACACACAGCACAATACATGGGAACATGGAATATGTAGTGTGTCGCTGTGTGTCTCTGTCGCTTTGTGTCTCTGTGTGTGTCGCTATCTGTATATCTGTTTCTTCTGTTTTTGTTGACTTTTATGTGACGCACTTGGTCAGCTGAAGTTGTTTTAACTGTGCTATATATATAAACTTGAACTGAATATCGTTGGCACCATAGCATAATTGCACAGTAATTTTTCCAAGGTTCCGGGAAAATAGAAAAATAAACTGCCTGTGTCACTGTGTTAGTTTGTGATTTTTGGGACCTATAAAAAATTGGCCCCTACAGATGCACTAGAGTGTGAAGATTAGAATGAAACAGAAAACTCAATTTGGCCAGAAAGTTACTTTTGGTCTGTTTTGCTATGAGGCTAGTGATAATTAAATCAAAAAGAATTCATATTTTGCTCAAGGTATGTTAAGGAAAGTTTATGCTTTCAAAACTTCAAATTATAACATTCTATGCAGAAGTAACATAGTTGAATTTACTCCCTTAGATTTGCTGAAATGCTTTAGCACCGATATACTGATAGTCTTACAGAAATGTACCTAATCCTGTGACAAAATACAATGTCACTCGTGGCCAGAAAAAGGCTTGAAAAAACTATAAAAATCAGTACTAAATCAAATGTACTCCTTGCCTCAGACAGGAGATGGTGTGAATGACGCTCCAGCCCTGAAGAAGGCAGAGATCGGTATCGCCATGGGCTCTGGGACGGCTGTGGCCAAATCTGCCTCTGAGATGGTTCTCGCTGACGACAACTTCTCCTCCATTGTGGCCGCAGTCGAAGAGGGAAGAGCCATTTACAACAACATGAAGCAGTTCATCAGATACCTCATCTCCTCCAATGTGGGGGAGGTCGTCTGGTCAGTGGTCAAGAGTTTATATTAGAAAAATTATAGTGATTTTTATGTCCTAAACCAAAATATGAAACAATCAAATAGAGCTGGTAGATACATTGTAAAAAATTATAATATTGTAATTGTAGTTGATTTGGAGATGCAAAATTAGAATATCAATCTACTAAAATTACCTTTCCGAAACAAGGGTATAAAGTGTTTTTTTTACGTTTCACATTCTATATGCATTGTAAAAAATATTAAATGGTAAGTCAAGGTTATAGCTAATCATCTGTTCTCATCTAAAATTTTTAATAATACATATTTTTTTTCCAAGTCTAAAACATCCATCAACCATCCAAAACATTTTATTTGTCTTTGGGTTTCCTTTTAAAGCTGAAGTGACGATCCCTTTTTTCTTATAAAGGAGTAAATTTAGTTTTTCCCTTCATTTAGCCTATTGTAAAAGCAGAACTTTGTGACTGAAATAAAAACATAATGGACAAAAAAATCATGTTTGTTTGAGGGCTAGAGCTAGTTAGATCGATTTAAACATCTGTTTCCTTCTTCCATAGTTAATGTTAAACAGTGGTAGAATGTAACAAAGTAAAGTAGCAAAGTACTGTACTTAAATATAAATATAGGTATCTGTACTCTACAGTGGATACTTCTTATTTTTACTTCACTACATTTGAGAGCAGGTATCTGTACTTTCTACTCCACAACATTTTTTAACTGGACTGAAAAGTAAAAGTTCTTATTGTTTGAGATGTGCTGAAAAGTATGAATGGGATATTTTTAACATATTTGTAGTTTGAGCAAACAAAAATATGTAAATACAAAAAGCTGAAAGCACCCCCCCCCCAAAAAAAAACAAACAAAAAAAACAACTGATTTAATTGTCTCAGTTAAACAAAATTCTGCACAAATCTTTATCAAAATCACTACAATTGAATCTTTAGAAGACCTCAAAATATACATGAAATTCTTTTACTTTTTACTCTTTAAGCACATTACATGTTAAGCATGGTTACTTTAATACTTTTACTTAAGTAGATTTTTTCATGTGATGTTTTTACTTTTTATTTTGTGCTCAAGTATCTGTAACAAAATTGAGTACTTCTTCCGCCACTGTTGATAAATGTGAAATGTTAATGTCATAGTCACAGTAAACATGCTCTTATAAACAGAGAAGTGTATAACTTGTTTTTGGCCCTCCAGTATCTTCCTGACGGCAGCACTTGGTTTCCCGGAGGCCCTGATCCCAGTCCAGTTATTATGGGTCAATCTGGTCACAGACGGACTTCCTGCCACAGCTTTGGGCTTTAACCCCCCAGACCTTGACATCATGGAGAAGCCCCCACGAAACGCCAAGGAGCCTCTCATCTCTGGCTGGCTCTTCTTCAGATACCTTGCCATAGGAGGTGAGTTTCAACCAATGTTTCTATGATGACTTTATGAAGTACTATCAGTAAATATCTACTGTATGTTCAGGTTATGTGGGAGCTGCCACAGTGGGAGCTGCTGCATGGTGGTTCATTCTTTCAGACGACGGACCTCAAGTTACTCTGTACCAACTGGTTCGTCATGATCAAACTGTTTATTTGATTTAGAATATACAGTTTATAGCAGACAGAAGAAGGGCTTGGCTTGGTATTGATAAAATCTCTCCAAACTATTTCTGTATGATTTGACACAAGTTGCAATACCACAGTCTCAGAGTTCAAACTATGTATATAAAAAAGTACAAGTAAACTGTATATGTGTTTGCAAAAAAGGAGAAGAAACTCACAATTCTAAATGACGGAAAGGTCTATTGTTAAGAATTATAACGTTGAAAACATGCACTTTTTAAAGAATTTGTCTTTAAGGCATTTGAAATCTGTATTATTTAGTATTGAGTAATGCAACTTGGAATTTATGAAAAACAGATTTTCTTTAGTTTTTATGTTGTGCTATTGTTCAGTTCTAACTTGAAGTTTTATTTATACAAGTATGTTTGAGTTATCTAGCATATTTAGTCTGCCTTTATAGATTGATCATCTTTTTCACTGTGTGTCTACAGAGCCACTTCCTGCAGTGTGACCCTGACAGTCCAGAGTTCGAGGGTTTGGACTGTCACGTGTTTGAGTCTCCGTATCCCATGACGATGGCTCTGTCTGTGCTGGTCACTATTGAGATGTGCAACGCCCTCAACAGGTCAGTCCTGGTATAGACTTAGACTCATGTAGATCATGGACTTTCAATCCCTGAAAAGGTTTGACTTTCAGAGTACTAAAAAGGACTGAACCCGAACTGAACCCGGACTGAAATGAACTAGAATTAACCCAGGAAAATGCAAGTAACCTCCAGGTGACTGATCACTGACTTGTTTTTGTTGCAGTCTGTCAGAGAACCAATCCCTGCTGCGGATGCCTCCCTGGGAGAACATCTGGTTGCTGGGAGCCATCTGTCTCTCCATGTCTCTGCACTTCCTCATCCTCTACGTTGAGCCTCTGCCGGTGAGTCCTCACTCCTGGACTTACAACACTGAAATTTTGTTTTCGCAGGGCCCAGAAAACCTGGCAGCGCCATTGATAATGACTCATAGATCTTCATAGCTGGCTGGTTGCTTAAACTTTGTTTAATTCTTTTTTCAACAGCAATAGTGATTACACTGAGTCTAAATGGCTCTAAAATTACCATTTCTGTTTAGATATTTAATTAGCTGAGGGCAAGATAACAATGAGTTCTTTTCCCTTTCTATAATTGAGAACAATAAACCATGGAAATAAAAGTGATGCAAGAAAATGATTAAACAATTCATATGAAACTATTTATTACCAAAGTTTTTCTGATTTGTATTAAAGGTGCACCATGCAATTTTTCTGGTAAAAGTCTAGCGCCTGGTTGTTTCCATGCTAAGGAGATTGCTTTCTCTGGAATGTACCACAGTATGCATTAAACTTGCTTATTATTTAATTATAGGTGTTTTTTACAGTAAAACAATATCTTGAAAAATATGCACTCTATTGTGAGCAGGCCCACCTCCCCACAAATTGGACCTCTTAATTGGCTTGGTTCTCGTTTGCATTGAAATGGATACGTTTAATATCGTACTGTGAAAAATTCCAGAGAAAGCAACAATATCTCCATGGTGACGGACCCTCTACTCAGAACCCTACACAGTGCACCTTTGATACCAAGATTTATATTTGTATTTTTGAAGCTACTGCAAGTAATTTATTTTTTGTGAATGAAGATTATCTAAATCTGAAAAGTAATGACAAAGGCAGTGTTGTACATGTGCTTATGTTACTAAAAGGTTCCTGGTTGAAAGCATCAAACTAAAGTACCATAATAATCCAAACAGTGAGAGATACAGGACTACATTCATACCATACTCCATACAACTGTACAACAACTCACCCTTATAATCCTATGTCAGATAATCCTATGTTGTGTCAATCATCATATCATCTTTGCACTGTTTTTTATTATGACCTCTTGTATATAACTGAGAGATTATGCCTTATTTGACACCCGTCTCTTGCTATTTCTGTGAATTATTTTGAATTATTTTTTACCTTTTATATTTTTTCTCTTTGCTATTATAACATATTGTGATGTGAGCTACTGTGTCCAAGTAATTTTCCTTGTGGATCAATAAAGTTTGTCTAAGTTCTTAACCTTACCCCTCTCTGTTGCACAGGTCATTTTTCAGATCACTCCTCTGGACTCGACCCAGTGGCTGATGGTGCTAAAGATCTCCATGCCTGTGATCCTGCTGGACGAGCTGCTCAAGTTCATGGCCCGAAACTACCTGGAGCTGGGTAAACACCTGGAGAGAGTGCCCCCTAAAGGCTGCTCTTTGTCCCACTGCACCAACGGCATCTCTTGGCCCTTTGTGGCTCTTTCGCTGCCCCTGGTGCTTTGGGTCTACCTCCCTGAAAACACTAACCTAGCCTCCCTCTGGCGTTGAAGTCTTCACCTCCCCCTCCCACCATGAGCACCGTGTGGAGTGGACATTAACACAAACAACTAACTTTAATCATGGGGAAGTGCACATTTGGCTTTGTAAAGTTTAGGACCATTACAGTACATGTTGAGATAGGGTAAGGGACAAAGACTGATTTTACATGATTTTATTTACATTTCTCTATACTCCTGTTTTGAGCAGATAGACTATAACAATCCACTAATTTATCTAATTTATAATGATAATTTGGCTTTGTAAGACATCAGTCTATTTGAATTTGAATGTGCGTGGAAAGGGACTGAAGAAAAATGGTAGGATGTCCCTATGTTTTTATTTGTTTCTTTTTGGTCCTATTTAAGCAGATAGACGTAACCACAGATAGATATAAGAGATGTACAGAGAATTTACAAAGCTATTTTATAATGATGAATATTTTGTAATTTTGGGGGCGGGGCATGGGGACGAGAATGTAGTGCGTTTTGGAGAGATGTATTTCAGGGGAGCATAGATTTCAAGTGACTGGTCTGTTTTTAAAGTCAGTTTCAAAGTCAAAAAATTTCCATCACAAATTGTTATTTAAAAAAGGTATTTTAAAATTCTCATTGCAGACTTTACAAAGTAATATCAAATTTGGATAGGTAACCAAATTTGAGGCTAAAAATATCTGAGTAGAAAAACATTTGTTTGGATTTAGGCCTACCATTTAAAGTTAAAAATAATAATAATAATTTAACATACAAATTTGATGTAGATCCATTTTATATATCTTATGTTATATGTAACACAAGTGAAGAGAAAATGCAGAAAAGCAACAAAATAAATGTGATCACTAAATAGAGATGGCCATTATAAGATTTGGCTATAATATTGTGGTTGTCAATCATTCTCTATTCTAGTCCTATATTTAGTTTTAACCTGTGGTGGGTGAAGTACTCAATTTTGATACTTAAGTAAAAGTACAGATACAGGGCAAAAAGATTAATCAAGTAAAAGTAAAAGTATCACATGAAAAAAATCTACTGTTTAAAAATGTACTTAGAGAGTAAAAAGTAAAAGAGATTTTTAGAACAATTAAAGAATGAAATGTAATGATTTAGAAAAAGAATTTGGCCGATTTTAAGTGATTCAATTGTTTTGTTATTTTTTTCTAGCTGTTTTTGAGTATTTGTTTATTTGGTTTGCTCACAGCTGGGACATTAACTCAAATGAAATGTGCTAAAAATCTCAGCCCTTTCAGCAGGTCAGACAGTACAGACACCTGCTCTCAAATGTAGTGAAGTAAAAGTAAAAGGTATTCACTGTAAAATATACTGATGGTTGCCTGTTTGTTTCTATGGATATGTCAATGCTCTGCCTGGAATGGTCCACAATAACGGCTCTACCTGACATTTATTAAATTACAGGTGGATTTATAGCTCAGAAATACAGGCATTTTAACTGTGAGTGGGGTCGCCTCTCTACAGATCTGACCTGTAACTTGGTCTGGTTTGGTCTCCAAGAAGATGGAAAGGTTAAATGCCATACTGTGAAACATTCTAGACAAAGCAATAACATCTCCATGGAGAAAAGCATCTGACGGACCCTCCACCACAAAAGTTACTCAATGTACCTTTAAGTAAAGTACAGATACCTAAAATTCCACCACTGGTTTTAACAGCAGACGACACAGACCAGTGACTTGAAGTGTATTTGGCTGTACATTCTCCATGCATCTGTCTTCTTTTCTGCTTTAGGCAGAGCACAGCTACCTCAGCGCTGTTACCACCATCACCATCGTCTTAATAGTACAATTTCATATCTTTAGGGACATACCAACCAGAAATCAATCGTATATTTAATTCCTCATGATATTTTAAAAGACATTTTAACCCGATAATTGCGTTAAGTTATTTACAACAGTAATGAAATAACAATTAAGTGTGATTTATACTGAGCTAATTTCATTTTGTACTTGAAGGGGCAGTGCATTATTTTGTAAAAAGGAGTCAAAGCATCTTGGTTTGGAGCAATAACACATATATTTATTATATTTATGCTCTGAACAAACTTAACTGTGAAATATCTTTATAATAAAGTAGACGTCAAAGTGATAGATGTTGAGTGAAAGTGTTTTTATATTCGTTTTACATAATATAGTTTAATATGTGTGTTATTGCACCATGTATGTACTTCCTCAAAATAAGAAATTGTGACTATGATAGAGTTGTACGATTATTAAAAAGGCCCCTTCTAAACACTGTACTGCCCCTTTAAGATTCATATTGTTATTTATTTCGACTGTGTCTTGTGGTTGGTTCGGGCAAAAGGACCCATGTGTTACCATTTTAAGTAAACATATTTTTTCAATACATTGTTTGAGTTTGTTTTGTTTGTTTTAACATAATTGTCTTATTTAATCACTTTAAAATATACTTATGCTGCAATCATGGGATCTCAACAGTTTCACAAGATTTTGACATAAAATTCAACTAGAATGCAATTTATTATGGCACAGGATAATTCTGCATTAAATATAGATTTTTTTTTTCTATGAATGCAGCATAATTTTAACGTTAAAATGTGCACATACTGTACTTGAATTTGTAAAAAGGCACAAAATGGAGAGAGTGTATAAATGTATATAGCACACACTGACTGTAAAGACTTATATATAGACTTGAACCTGTCACTGTTGTTCTCCTACGGGGGGCGCTGCATGAACGCTACAGTAACAAATACAGGCCAGTGGATACTAAACATGAGGAATGGGAGTAACTCAATGAACTGATTAAATACATGTGGAAAAGGTGCATTTAAAGACAGACTGTGTTGTAGAACAGTGTTTTGAAAATGGCTGTATACTAATTTTGAAATGTATTATTTCAATTACTATAATGTGCAAATGTTTCAGTGAAACTGTGATAATTTAAAAAAAAAAAAAAAAAAAACTGGCAAAGCTTGTTTTTAAAATGGTCTAAGCTTGTAGGCTTATGAAAGATGTTTACTTGCAAAACAGAAGTCTAAGTAAGTTGCTCCAAGTTGTAATACTGTACAAAGAATGGGTTACTTTTGTCCACAGTTTTAACATAGTGGGTTCACAGGGATAATGGAAATGGCTGAGGTTTATTTTTGATGTATAATTAAAAAAAAAAAAAAAAAGATACTGAAAATTATTTTGGTGAACAATCTTTATTCTTAGTAATTTTGGGATTAGCTGGTACTTCAAATGGAGAAACTAGTTAAAGACAGATACCATCAGTTGTTAACAAAAATTGAAACTTGTAATGTATGAGGTGGTTAAAAATAGGAGACCCATTTAGAACCACTCCCATCCTAGTCAATGAATGCACTTTAGCTCCATATAGATTTAGCTGCTATTTGAGTTACTCCCAGATGTCCAGCTTTCACTGTAAAGCCTAATGTTGTGAGTTTTTTGCATGGATTTTTGTTTTTCAAGTTGTCATAACCCTATTAAAGTTAGAGCAATAATAGTGAATAATGTTATAATGCTTATGGTGCAATGTGAATGATACACGTTTGTTTGGAAATGCCTTTAAATAACTGTCACAAGTGCCAGGATCCTGTTGGTTTTGAGATATTTATTTTCAGAGATGGACATTGAAGTTGACATTGAAGTTGAACATAAGTCTACAAAATAAAAATGCACCTAAGGGATTTGAATGTTGTAATTACCAATTAGCCATAGTCCTATAAGGATTTTTATCACTGTGTACTTTCTGGCACGGATGCTTTGGATTTTTTTTTTTTTAAGGAGACTCAAGTGACTATATTTGAAATATAGTGATCAATATTTACTCTATTCTATATTTAAACATTTGCTGTATTTATTACTAGTAGAGAGGCTACTGGTGTAGAAAAAACGAAATACTTATGCAGTGGTGTCATGTAAAATTATGTCAACATAATTAATCATTGTCCTGGTGCAAAGGCCTATAGTTGCTGTTCAGACCAAGACATAAGAACAGAGTCTGGAAAGCGCATATTATACATTATGAATATAAATCAGAAAGTAAATGATAAGAGTACTTCAGTACCTCTACAGGAAGTGTGAAAATGTTTTAAATTTCACACACACTATTCTACGTGTGTACAGTAAAGTGCGAAGTCCAAAACCTGCTTGTCTCAATGTTATTGTTGTCCCAATGGCATTCACTCTTGCATTTATTTAATGACATTTTAAAATTACTTTGAAAAATATGCATTCTTACTGAGTGCAATTGCCTCTCCAGCGATCTGACCTGTAAACTGACCTGGTGGTGTCCCCTGCTTGTTTTGATGTCCTTCTGGCTTATAACATGAGACCTGGAATTGCTCCCTTCACTGGCTGAATATCAGCCTCATATATGGGCAAATTTAACAAAATGTATTTACAAAAAATACAGCTGTTTATAAGATTTCATATTTCTGTGTTCTCACCAGAATGTCCCCCTAAATGTACAAAATATTAGCCACTGTAAGCCACAATCTCAGATAAAAAATATCATTTGAGTCTCCTGAGCTCCCTCTCTCACAGCATGGCCTTTATCATACCTGTCCTTGCCCTTGTATTTCTCATTTCTTCTTTTCTTTCTTTTGCAGTGAGGTTCAAGTAAAGTCCAGCTCTGCTCCTCATTCAATCTATTTTTGTTTTTGTTTTGTGTTATGCATGTGTTACAGAAGCAGCAAATCTTAAGAAAACGCTGAATGTTAAGTTTAAATTGATCATTTTGAAGCCACGAAATAATACTTTTGAAGATCTTACAGTGTACAGTCAGTGAAGCATGCCAGCCATTTTGTTTTCAACTTGTGATATAGATAAATGTATGAAACGTAGATTCAGATTGCGCTATAAGTGTCAATATAAGCTCAAATCATATTTTTAAAGGAAATAATTTTATGGAACGTTGAAAACCAAACCGATTTTTGTTTTATTGTGCATTATAGATCAGTGGCAGGAAGTACTGTATTTTCAGATTGTACGATATATACGTGAATAAAACTACATCATACGTTTCTGAACTGTGTCTGGAGTGTCTTAAATTGAGGTGTTTTTTTTTGACAATTAAATGATGTTCTAAAATCTGTACCAGCACTGTAACACAGAAAAACAACAGGGAAATCTTGACAAAAACACAGATAGACACTTTTATTATACATCTTAAAAAATATGTACAAAATACTATAAACAACTGTGTTCTTGAAATGGTAACACTTCCCCAGGTTTGAAAAAACAAGATTAGCATGTTTACAAGTTAAACTCAGGAGTAAATATAACAACATAACAATCAACAGAGCAATTACTTTAACACAATTTTTTTTTTTCACATTTACTTTTGTCATTTTGTGGAGTTTAAGCCAAATTCAATAACCTATGCAAATATGTTTTTCCATGGAGAGAGATAAATTTTATGCCATACTGTGGAATATCATGGCCAAAGGAACAACATTTCCATGGAGATTAGCAGGAGTAGGTGCTTGGCTAAGTAACATTCAGGTGGAGATGCAAGCCCGCTCACAGTAATGATGCTTGCTTTTCTATGTTTTTAGTACAATAAATTGTTTTTATTGTAGTCTATTTTTTTGTTAAAAAGTTTTGCATTGGGACATTCATTGAAAAAATGGTACAACAAATGAGCTGGAAAAAAGTATGACATCAAGATAAAGAGGCATAAAATAATGCAATTTAGGATTCCCTATGCCACCCTGTCACAGTAAAAGGGTAACACTGAATATATGCAACATTACATTCTTTGGGTGAATATATGTGACAAATTGGCCGACTGCAAAATTTGGCAGGGTCCAACTTTTTCCAGGTGAGACCCCACTTCTGGTATAGGCTCCAACTACGCCTGGACACCACAGCATCACATTATAAAGCCGCCATTTATTTTTCAGCATTAGTGTTAGTTTTGTTACAACTGTTTTCAAAGAGCAAGATTACCGTACTAGCTATTTTACCTACTCTTACCACTACTGACCAACCCATCCAAGCCCCTCTCCCGCCCTGGGTCACTGCATACCGAACCACTGCTCCTGATCTCCCCACTGCGCTGCTTCACTGTCACTGCCCTCCAGCTCGCCCTCCTCACCACTGCCTTCCATATCGTCCCCGTCCAGCTCCACTGTGGCGTCTGTCGGACTCTCCTCCTTCTCCATCTTCTGCATCCCCTCCAATGACTTCTGGTCATTTGGGTCCAAGCTGAGGAGAGGAAATAAGTATTCAGAATGTGGTTTGAGCGGAAGCTAAACGAAAAAACAAATATGGTGATGCAGGTAGATGTTGGGTATTAGCTGACTAGCTCCAGCTCCATCTTAAGCCTCAAGTCGTCCCATGACAGAAATAAGCCAAAGTCTGACCAAAGCTAATTCAGGCCTGGAGTTTAAGCGGTGCTCAGTGCGTGCTCCTTGTGACTCTGGGAGGGCCAAATCAGTGGAGCAATGACATCAGGGAAAATAGGCTCAAAATGTGATGTTTTTTACAATCTGACTAAACAAGAGAGGAGCCACAGGGCACATGAACAATGATTGATTTGGGACACAAAACTTTTCCATTCATTCTGATCTGAGGAGCAAGACAAACGTCAGTCTGGCCTTAGTCAGATTACTTGTCTCCCTGACTAGAGTGGGCAAAGTATCTGAAGTGGCACAATGTTAGTCTGTAGTCAGGTGAGAATGTAACTTTTTTTTTTTTTAAACCTGCATTTTACCAGGAAGCCTCTTACCTTAGAGCTATACTGTACTGGTCCATTGCCTCTTGATAGTCATTCACAGCCACCAAAAAATCTCCCAACATCCTGTGCAGCACACAGTCGCTCTGATTGGCCAATGCATTTCTCAGAAGAGCTATTCCCTCTTCATATTTCTGCTCTCGACCTATAAAAAAAACAATACATGATGACTGTCAGGTGATGGACATGGATTCGCCTTGGTTTCTGGGTGAGATTAAGTATTAGGCAGAGTTATTCATACTATACTCTTGCCTCATTATATAATTTGACAAAAGTGAAGGAAGGTGCATTGTGTTACTTTTCTGGTGGAGGGTCTGTCAAATGCTTTTTTCCATGGAGATATTAATGCTTTGTCTGGAATGTTTCAGTTACAAGTTACAGGTCAGAACTGTGGAGAGGCAACCCCGCTCACAGTCAGAGAGTCTGTTTTTCTAGATTTTTTTAAGCTATAAAACCACCTGTAATTTTATAAATGTAAGGTAGAGCTGTTTAATGTTTTATTGTGGAACATTTGAAGCAGAGCAGAGACCTATCCATTGAAACAAGCAAGTGACAGACCTCAAACCAAAAAGTTACATAGTGCACCTTTAAATATCCCACATATGACGGCAGAGTGATCGGCTGCGGTCTAAGTTAAAGACTTACTGAGAAGCTCAGCCTTCTTGACCACAGCCTTGGTATAGTCCGGTCTCTGGGCCAGGGCTTTGTCTAACAGAGTCTTGGCCTTCTCCTGGGTCACTGGGTCCTCGAGACAGACTGTGGCGAGGATTGTCAGCGTCTGAGCGTTAGCCCCCAGAGTCTTATAAATGTTATTGGCCATCCCCATTGCCTCTCGGATACCATTAGATGCAAGGTAACAGTCAATCAGGCCTAGAAGAGAAAATATTGAAAATGTTATATGATGATACAGATTTTTTTATCAGCAGGTCAAAAATGTCATATTCTGAGATTGTCTCAAATGCATGTTAGCCTTAGATTTGAGAAACATTCAAGATAATGACAGGAATCATGCCTTCATAGCAGTCAAGTCGACATGGAGCCAGGCGCATGGCTTCTCTGAAGTGAATGATGGCCTCCTGCACTCGACCCATGTTCCTCAGTGCTGCCCCCTTCAGGAGAAGTGCTTGCACACTGTTACTGTTCAGTTGTATTGCCTTGGCTCCCAGGTACAGTGCACGTGAGTAACGCTTACTGTAGAAACTGTGACAACTGACAGACAAGACAATAAAAGATGGATAATAAAAAATAAATTCACAAACTTAGTGTACATTTAAAATATCGGGGATTGCTAGGTTAATCTTAATCACACATCATATTAAAAAAGAGTTAATTATAAGTAGCTAATGATGAAGCAAAAAGACTATGGGTGCCAGCTGTGCCACGTTGATTAAATTACAACAGAAGCATTTAGACTCACCCGGAGATGACCCAGGGCTCTGCATGTTGGTCTGAAATGTTGAACAATCGTCCTCCCAAAACCTCAACATCTTCTAAATGTCCTTCACGAGCCATAAGATACCCATATACATCCATACCTACAGACAATAAATATACAACCTTAAATAGACATCACTGCATAATATAGAAAGATTTATGGTTAATTGTTCTTTAGAGGTGGCAAGCTACTTTTCTAGCCACAGCCGTGCTGAAACAGAGTGGGGTAAGACCAAAGCATGTCTTACCTTTAATTAAATACGGATCCAACATTTGTGCTTGTTCAAATTTTAGGATAGCATTTTTAGTGTCTCCGGCTCTGAAGTATACATCTGCCAAACTCACCAACAAGTCCACATTATCTCTCAACAGAGACTTCTTCTCCAGAGAGCTAAAACAACAAAATATTATTGGGCTGAACAATTTAGTGAAATAGATAGCATGGGGGGGTCTATTGTTACCATATGGTGTTGATGGCCCTCTGGTTGTCCCCTACATGAATGAATGCGTATGCCTTGATCCAGACCGAGAGCCAATCCAGGTTTGGGATGGTCTGAATCACATCAATTGTCATAGAGGCAACTTCTGCCCCTTTAACTGACAATGAGAGGAGACCTGAAGACAAACAATACAGATTCAATTTGTAGTCCAAGAGAAACAAGTATTTCATTTAAATGCATTGCCAGTCTAGTTTGAAATCCTACAAATAACAATAGCTGCCTGGTTTCTAATTTCTTGGTTAACTTATTCTCCGAATTTATTCTTACCAATAATTGCATCAAGAGCAAGAGGGCACTGTCTGAGCACCTCTTTGTAACTGGTCACTGCAGACCGCTCCAGACCAGCTTTTCTGTACAGGTTTGCCAGCATCATGTTGATCTGGAAAATTACACACAAGATGACTTCAGACATAGCACAGCCAAAGAACAGCAGCATTTACAACAGTCATTATTTAAAAGTCTAATATGAAGAGTGTGTTCAATATCTTGAAATGATTTATAACCACTTTATCAAACAATTACCGATAAATGGTTGACAGCCACATAGACTGTATTCCTATTAATAATTATGAACCATTATAAATTAAGGTGCATTATTACTAAAAGTCAAATCTTGTATTTAGAGACAGTAGCTTATTTTGTTTATTCAGCTTTAATTCTAGGTACTTAGATGGTACAGTATGTTTACACTACTACACAGCATAACAATTCACTTTTTTTTTTTTTTTTATATTGATTGAGCCTGAAATCTAGGAAGAAACAACATAATAACTATGGAAGAAATTATAGAAGGAGAGTTACCTTTGGTGTCCTTTGCCTTGAAGGAATCCCATCAAGCACTGCGATGGCATCTTTGTCTAGTTTCAGTATGGTGTAGCATTCAGCGATCTTGTATTTAACCTCAATTTCTGATGGCAAACTCTGAAACAAACCACATACATAAATACTAAATAGATTACATTCCTATAATCTGATGACATCATAATCCACGGGACAAAAAGAACACTTTTACCATTGTGGTTTGTACTTATAAAACAGGGGGCAAAAGGAAGACTAGAGCACTTAGATATGGACTATAGACATTGTCACTCCGAAACAACAATTTAGTAATAACAAATTCCCATTCCAAAAATTATAATAAAACTAACAAAGGCAAATCTAATCATTTAACTGGCACTGAAATTTTATTGGCATTCTGACCTGTGCTTGTATGGTAGATGCAGCTCCTCCAGCTGAGGTCCTGACTTTGGAGGTTTTGCTGAGGACTTTTCTCATCTGCAGGGCCATAGTGTACTTACAGGCTGCATTTCTGTATTCTTTGTCATGGAATATGGCGTCTGCATGGTAAACCAGCAGCTGGTACTTCTGTGCTGGAGTGAACAGCTCTCTGAAATTACAGGAGAGATGTAATTGAGTTAAATGAAATCTCGAATAATGACAAGCAATCATCAAACAATCAAGTTTGTGTATATAGCACATTACAACAGATGAAGAATAAGTTGATCAACATGTTAAAATATGTTAACAACAAGGACAAGCAGAAGCGTGTACTTCTTAGACTGATCTTAGACCAGACATACTGTGTACTGTACACAAACCATTCTTTATGGATATGGGGTTGCACTTACTTATTAGGGCAAATGATTGAAAAAATGCTAAATGTAACAACTATTTCAAAACATTACATGATTAATCATAGAGATTCTCAAGAGATCCATTCATTTCAGAATTTTCCTCCAATCTGTTCATTAATTTAATATTTCTTTAGAGCCCCTTTTCTGAAGTACACAGAAGCATACAGTCTATGATCTCAGCCCATACATATCACTACAGAGATATATTATAGCTACACATACAATAATAATTAAATAAGTTTTGAATCAATCATTCAAATAGCCTAGTACTAATACAACCCATTAACCTAACGCTACAACTTGTCATAGTACAAATTGTGCAAGATACATTTGTTGATGCAACTCAGAAAGCACTTGGCAGTCACAAGAAACAGCAATGCCTTAACAAGCAATTACACTGAATACTAAAACACATTTGAGAAATTACTTCAACACATATACCGTTTACACTCATCAGTTACTGGCATTTATGTAAAAAAAAAGGAGTTCAAAAATGAGACTGGCCCCACTGTACATGATTTTATACTCACGGATTATTATTGCTCATCGTCAATAACAAACTGCTCAAAATCCGAACATTTGAGTGAAGGCCAGCAGCAGCCATATCACGGACATGGTCTATAGCACTCATTTTGGTACAATGTAAGAGATCTATCTACGTTTAACGCCTGAAAATATGGAAAGTTAAGATTTGTAAACAGCTAATGCTAACAGCTAGCTTCTAACGTATCAAATATGGCGCCCAACGCACTTCCTTCCGCATTCTGTTGCGTTTAGAAGCTCTGTAGAATTTCACAACATTATGTGAGTGTGCTTCAAATATAAAATATACTTTTAATTTGTATTGTTACTGTTGTGCAATTAATATTTTTTCTAGTAGTATGTTATATTATAAGCCAGATATGCATTTGCATTTTATTTGAAATATATTCGTAGCATCGTTTATGTGCTTATGTGCTTTTTCTCTGGCAGACTTGAAGGCATCTTGTGCTCATTTGCTGCAGTGCAACTTCTTTCTCTGATTAAATTAGTTATTCTTATTCTGTGGCTCACAAAAATTTTAATTCTGTCAAAGCACTGAACCATAAAACATTGCAATTGAATACTCATATAGAAATACTGCACTCTACAATATTAGTATTATTTGAAACAGTGGGAAAGAAAAATGTGCTTGTAAAATATCACTCTACCTCTATTGACTAATTAAAACTAGCTCCTGTAGACAAGAGCACACAGGTTAGTGCAGATAGGCCATGGATCTGCATTAAGATGTTATTATACTTGGATGAGACAGACAGGTCATATACAGGAGCATACATAAACAGGACTCTAGGGACAGGAGCATACAGACTAGTGCAGACAGACAGGTGTATACAGACAGGTGCAGACAGCTCATGGGTTTAAAACAAGAAGACTTTATTAAACTTCCATGAGACAGACAGGTCCAGAAGCTTACAGATAAAAGAAAACAGACATGTGCAAGCAGACATTGGCATACAGACAGGCAGGAGCATACAGACAGGTGCATAAACAGGAGCAGACCGACAAACAACAGCAGTGGAAGTCATTTGAGTTCATATAAGTCCATAAAGCACAGGCTGAACACAATTACAGCAGCGCATGCGCAGAGCTAAAGCCAGCAGCTGAACCTTGTGTCAAAACAGAGGCACAGCAGCGCAACGCCGTTAGCTTTGTTTTCGGGCACCATTTGTCGGTACAAAGTGTTTCAATTCACGTCCACGTACCATGACCGAACAATCAGCGCTACTTCTTCGAAAACAATTGGCAGGTAATGTCCACAGCTCGCCCTGAGCCCCAAAAGGTCGATTTGAAAGCTGCTTAGCTGTCCGCCTCCGTTAGCTTTTCTTAGCTCGGCGCAGCTCTGTTTACGCCATAGGCTCCCCAGCAAAAGGGACTTTTCACACTGCATTGACTGTTTATTGTTAGCATAGCGATTTGATACACCTTTGATCATGTTTATACGATACGAGATTACTGCATTTCTTATTTGTTATAGCACTGAAGCAATAATGTAAGGTAATGTCGCTTTAGATTGTGGCAAATTCGGCGTTACTGAGCTAAAGGAACAAAGGAATAATCAATCTAGTGTCTCTCTCGCGATGTAAAGCTTTCTACTCCGTTAATCGCACCTTTTACTGTATTTCTGTGGATAATAAGTAGTAGAATTGAATATGGACTCGTATGAAATGGTTAAGTCGATGTCTGGCCAAACATTTTGGGGACGCGTCGCTCGCTCGCTGTCATCTGGCCCAGATTTAGTGCACAAATCAAAGTAATGAAACTCTTGCTGTCGTGGCTGTATTTTGAACACGTACTTTGAGGTTATTGGCTCTGGCATCATATATACTTTCATCTGCGCAAGCTTTCATACAGCCTTTATTTCTGGTTAGCTTTGTTTTCTTAAAAGAACGAATATAATGAGGATTCAAATGCCAAAATTTTTCTAAAATATATTACTTTTATTGTCAAACTGGTATAGCATATGTAATCTTATGCTCTAAACATTTAACATGGTATACACATTTTTATTGCATTTTTATAGTGTTTTCTTTGACTAAATTCTGAATGAATCTAACTAGTAATTTTACTGTTAATAAAGAATATCCTATCCTTTTTTTTCCTATGCTCTGCAGTGAATGCAAAATGTGTATATTGTAGCAAGTAGTCAGTTTGTTGATCCCCAAGGTAGGTCTTGGCAATTGGCAACTGTAATCAAGAGATTCATTATATACTAGTATAATAGTCAGTGATATGGTTGGGGGATTTAGTAAAAAAAAAAAAAAAAAAGTCTGGAGCCAATCCTCTGTCAATACAGGCATGCAGTTTGAACTATGGAGAAAGAAATGTTAGTACTTTTTGTTTTAAATGGCCCTGATTAAAAAATATGTCTTTTAAAAAGCAAAAATCCTTGATCAATCATTAATATGAGTCAAAATAGTAATTATTTATACAGTTACTATTTGCTTATTTCTTCAGCTTGCCTTCTGACCATGCTGTGTTTCATCCTTCACATTTTGTCCTAGAGCTCAACAAGAACCCTGTGGAGGGCTTTTCGGCTGGTCTCATAGATGACGACGATATCTACAAATGGGAGGTCGTGATCATTGGGCCACAGGACACCCTTTTGTAAGTGTTATAAATTGCTCATAGGGCAAAAAAATCATAGTGTGGTAAAATACAAATTAGCTAATCAAGCACCTATGATCACAAAAAATATTTAGTAAAATATAAATAAACAAACCCCAGAGTGCAGTTTTATGCCACATCAGTTAACACTTTAAAGTAAGCAACAGAAACAGTGCTTTCAATATTTAGTATTTTCTGTTTCAAAGCAGAAGATAATATTATGAGCATGAACATTCTGACATGTTTTTTTTATTTATGTTACAGCGAAGGAGGTTTCTTCAAAGCTTATCTCACCTTTCCTTATGACTATCCACTACGGCCTCCAAAGATGAAATTTATCACTGAAATCTGGCACCCGAATGGTAAGTCTGTCTTTTCAGCTCTTAATGAAGCCAAAGTTTACATGAGCTTGGTTATTTGCCCACCACAGTTAGGTGGTTTTATACCTACTGCCAGATTTGCATTGTGTCATTATTGGGCTCGACTCGATGTGAGAATTTAATCGTCCAACCAAACCAAAAAGACAAATAAAAATGATAGATGTTTTTTTTTTTTTTTTCATTCTGATAAAAATGTAAATTGTTATTGCCTTAATAATTATTATTGTACACTTACCAAATTGCAGACATGCATCCACTCTGCTTCTTCTGAGAGTTCACACTAAGCCACATCATTTTCCCTGTCACTCGCGTACAGCATGATGTCCCATTGCTGACAATACTGTACGAATGGAATTGTTTCTAATATTTGTTACAGTTGCAAAGAATGGAGATGTGTGCATTTCAATCCTGCATGAGCCCGGTGAGGATAAGTTTGGCTATGAAAAACCAGAGGAGCGCTGGCTCCCCATTCACACAGTAGAGACAATCATGATCAGTGTCATCTCCATGCTCGCAGACCCCAACAGCGACTCGCCAGCCAACGTGGATGCAGCGGTAGGTTGTGGCTTTAATGGAGCAAAAATAGTTTTCTTAAGGCCTTTATGAAATAAATACTACCTTATGTGCAAATTTGAGATGTACCTGCCGGAGATATGTTTTATTTCATTCACATATTTTTTTCTGCCTGGTACTGTTTACAGAAAGAGTGGAGGGAGGACCCTAATGGTGAATTCAAGAGGAAAGTGGCACGCTGCGTAAGAAAAAGTCAAGAGATGGCGTTTGACTAAAATCAGCTGTAAATTCCAGGGTAAGTTCATTGTCTCTGAAAGCAAAAGCTTCTCTGCTTCAGACATATGCTTTATAAGACTGTTTTCTTTCAGTTTAAGGAAATGCCTTCACAAGGAAAATTTCAAGCCTTTGCCCCTTGTTTTGCCAGTCAAAGGAATTGGTTGGCTTCAACCACTTTTCTGTGAACGGTTGTCATTTTCCGCAAGATGAGCCAATTTGAGATCCCTACCAGCGAAATTTACCTGTTTTCCTTCCTGGAATTGTATATTTAATTTTATTTATTTTGAAAAATTAATGATGTAAGATATGTCACTACTGTAAATGACTTGCTTTTTTATCTGCTGCTGAACAGTTTCTACTTTATACCAGGTTTCTTATGCAATTTAGGGTCAAGATTGTGTAAAACAAGGCTGTTGTCGATAGGTCATCCCTTGTCCTCCTCTGTGCGTTTTCACTCCACAGCAGTCGTCTGGATCACTCGTTTGAACACTGTCTCTCTGTCATGGCTGCCTTCTCTGGCCTCAGCTCCTCGCCTCGGCTCTGGTATCATTTGTTCTGTTTAAAGGGACTTTGTCTTCACACTGCTGTTTTCTGAGAATCGGCCTCCTGTTGGCATCAAGACACTGGTGCACATCATAAATATTAACAGCATATTACGTGCATGAAACAGTTTGGTTTAAATTGAATGGCTTCCCAGTAGTTTTGAATCATTATTTTCACTTGATTTGCGCCAGTGTTGGGACAATTAACAGGAGAACTGTGCCAACTTCTCAGGAATAACCAACTCATCACTAGTGTCACTTATCATTGAGACCAACCGCTGTCCAACACTTACTCTAATATATCACAAACAAACCATCAACAACCAAAAACAATCTGTGAATTTGCTAAGCTGTGAACATGTCGCATACTGGTGAACTGCCATCTCTTAGCTTATACCTCTTCTCAAACAAGTCTAGATCATAGGTTTTTCAATACAACACGGGGGATATGGATTTCCACAGTAGATTTAGGGTAATCGTTTTGTTGTGGCACACCTATCAGTGAGTCAATGTAAGTCACTTGTGGGTTTTAGGACATTGGGTAGTTTCTTTCTCTCCATTTAATTTAGGCTTTCACTAAATTGGAATTCTTCATAGATGCTTAAAATATTAATATAAATATATGTATTACCATTCAACGTAATATTTTTAAATGAAAAATGTGTTTGGGTGGATTCAGTCATTTAGTCACTTTGTTAGTATTAAGACATTTTGGACATAGATTTTCAACATTTAAGAGTGGATTTATGGCGCATGCAATCAGGTTTGGGTAGGCTAATCATGGTTTGAAGTCTTTTGTGCATTAAGACATTACGTTTAGTTCCTCAGATCTTTACCATGACCTCCTCTGACCGGTGTTCACTGTTTTTGCACAAATTCAGTGCGTTCTGAAATGTCATAAAGCAATACGCTCAAAATACAAAATGGTGTCTCCAGGAAATCCACTCTAACGCCATTATTATTATTTTTATGTTTGGTTGTTTTATTTTTCATTTTGTGTTGATGCAATGCATATTGGACATGATGCTCAATAAAGTGTGTAAACTAAGAATGAAATGGCTTAATTGTCTTGTTTTTAGGCGGTACATTTCACTTAATACTTGTGCTTCAAAGATTAACAGCCGATGTTTTGTACTTGAGTATTAAATATGTAAGTTAATGTGAAGAATTCATTTTACTTACCACAGTGCTATACTGTATGCTCACTACTCAAAGTTGCTATACATTATGTATTATTCCCTCTCAAAGCTACTTTTATTGCCCTAGGGCTGCTTGGAAAAATGTAACCATTTTTTTTGCCCCTGACAACTTCTCACAGTTACGGTCAAGTGTTCAACAACCATATGAATTGACCAAGTCTGCATCTGACAAACTTGTTAGTTGTCTTAATCCTTTTAAACTGTTTTTGGAAGTACCAGAATATATTATGTTCCATTTATATCATTGCAGGTCATACAGTCTGTCATTTTGATATGCTTTGAGCTTCTACACACAGCACTTACTTGAGCACATAATTGGCCACTGTACCCAGCTGTAGTTTTGTTTTCCTGATGCATTTTGAATGAGAACACACATTAGGTTAAAGCACATGGACCCCTGCACTGTAATGGGACGCCCTGGATTAGGATCTGGTTTCAGGCCTGGTTTGGTTTCACACTTGTGGGTCGATCTGGCTGTGACACTCTGCAGACTTCATAACACAAAATAGATAACCATCTCTCCACTGGGAATATACAACCCTTTATTATGAAGAAACAGGTGACTTTTGTGGAAAGCCTAACAAAAGACAAAGGGGTGCAATGTGAAGATCGACCAGTGACAAGGTGAGAGCAAATAACAAATCTGGCTGTCTTATTATAATACTGTTTATTTCATGCTCTATTTAATACACTGTTTGGTCAACAGGTCTACTGAGATAAGCAGTTACATTTCAAAGGGTGAGTGTGAAGCTATTTTAATAATGTTACTTAATTGTAAGATGTTCAAGTTTCTAGATCAGTTGGTTTTAATGTTTTGTTTTAGGCAAGTAGACTGAATCCTTTTTACTGATCGGCCTATATCAGTTTTCTTAGTGTTAAACAATGATTTGTCTTTCATCTCATGGTAAAATGTAACAGAGGTCAGAGGTGGGTAGAGGCTAAAAAATTACTCAAGTAAAAGTATTTTTAATCAAGTGAAAATAATATTACTTAAGTAGAAGTACAAAGTAGTGGTTCATGAAATTACCCAAGTAAGAGTAAAAAAGCATTTGGGAAAACTACTACTCAAGAAAGTAACTCAAAGTGTTGAAATATAACATCTGATTTATTATTTAAAGTTTATGTAACTTGAAGGACAAAACATTAATTAAATAATGCACAAAATCTGCTATTGTCAAAAGAGGAACCACAAAAATGTGAAAAACCTAGTTTTATCTGAAGAAGCACTGCCAACAAACACCAAGGTTCAAAGCATTTAATATTTGTCACTTAGGCTTCGGCAGTGGGAAGAGTAAGCAAAACTTTTACTCAAGTAAGAGTACTGTTCCTTCAATAACTATTACACAAGTAGGTGTAAAAGTATGCTGCTAGAAAAGTACTCTGAAAAGTACAGTTAAATATGTCCGCATATTTCTTTCTCTATTGAATTAGAGCCCTCCAACAACTCAGTTATAACACACTCATGTAAACCACTTAAATGAAAAAATACAATGAGGTAAAATAACTATATCATGAATTTGCTAGTGTTAAGTACGCTAATGATGGTCTATGTACTTGTTCAGGATGTGAGATTGGACTTTATCAACGAGTGAGAAAGATTGATACTCCCATCAGCGTTTTATCAGGAAACCAACCATTCTACTTTCCCAAATACATGACGACAGTACCATTCCTACAGGTATATTATGTTATGTTCTACTGAAATGGCACGGCAAGGAAAGGGCAATATCAGATTGTCAAGTTTATGTGTGTTTTGGGTCAACGGCCATAGTGAGATAGTTTGGACAATGATTTGCAATAATGAATATACAAGAATGCTTAAAGGTGCATTGTGTAACTTTTCTGGTGGAGGGTCCATCAAATGTTTTTCTCCATGAAAATGTTACTCCAGCCCTTTGGGACAACAGATGGAAATGCTCTGTCCCAATCAAATAAATAAATTAACAAAATAAAATCAATCAATCAATAAATTATTCCTTTGTCTGGAATGTTTCACACTATGGTATTAAACCTTTCTATCCAACCCTACCAATTTACAAGTCGGATCTGTGGAGAGGCAACTCTGCTCTACTTTTCTAATTATTTTTGAGCAATAAAACCAATTGTAATTGAATAACTAAAAGGAAGATTTGTTTATTGTCAAATTGTGGAAAATTCTAAGCAGAGCAATGACATATTGATGGAAACAAAAAAGTGATGGACCCTCTACTGAAAACTTGTACAGTGCACCTTTAAGTCAATGTTGCCAGACAGAAGGCCTTTAAGATTAATGTTGAAATTAAGCATTAAGTTAGTAAGTAAATAAAGAAAAAAACAGTGGAAAACATAGCAATAATGACTTGTAATGTAATCATATTTTGTAATTTTCATATGTTTTAATCCCAAAATGTCATCCATGTGTCAGCATCCCAATCTCACAGCCGGACAGAGGCGGTATCTCCAGAGCGTGACTAACATCTACAGCACAGAGCAGATGAGGAGGCAAATGAAGCAGCACTATCTCAATGTCCTACACAGCTGTCTGCAGTCAGGTCTGTTATCACTACTACTATAATACTACTATTATAGGCTACTGTTACTACAATACTACTACTTTTAAGTAATTAAGACTTTCTCACGACATTATGGATTTGTCTCCTAGGTCAGATCCCATTCAGCAGGAGGAGATGTGGAGATCTTCAACAAAATCAGAAATTCAGGCCAGAATCATCAGATAAAGAAACAGGGGCAAGAGTGAAGTCACAAGGAAGAAGGAAGAGTAGTACCATCACTCATCCCAACATCAGACTTCCCAAAATAGTCAACCGATGATGACTTTTAAAACTTAAAAGGGGAACTATGCAAATTTTTGGGTGTCTTTATGGAGATGTTAATTCTGTATTGTTTCATTAAAGTTATCTATCTTCATGGAGACAAACAGTTGATGCCACCAGGCCAGGTTACAGATCAGTTTTTTGAGCAATAAAAATCTGGTGATATATATATATTTCATTAGAAAGTTTCCACAGTGCACCTTTTTAGGCTAAATACCACATTGTTTTGGGAAAAACAAAAAAAAAAAACCCAAAACACATAAACATAAGTATAAAGGCTTTGTTTTGTTCATACACCCTATGGCATATGACATATGACATGAAGACTGAACCAAGAGTTTAAAAAAATGACCTCGCTCTGTAATTGGAAGCTTTTACTGCACCTGATCTATTTCCTTTTTGTTTCTTTGAACAAACTAACCTAGCAGGTTAGTAAATTATATATTATAGTTACTATAGTAATAATATGTTAATATAATTGTATTTAGGGTGACCAAATGTCCCTATTTACCTGGGACAGTCCCAGTTTTGAGCCCTTTGTCCCCTGTCTCAGCAGATTTATCTAAATCAATTGATTTGTCCCATTTTTATACAAAAAATGTCCCAGGTGTCCCATTTTCTTTTTTACCAGTTTGATACTTCCCTCCCTCTCATCCCTCAGTCGCCCAGGTAAAATCCATGGCAATGGAGAAATTTAGTTTGTGGACTGGACAAAAGTTTATTTGGTCGAATATGTATTGCAGCTCCTCCAAGCTGCTTCTTCAGTTCAGATCAGAATGCTGGTAGAAACTTCCTTATATCTGTCTTCAGGGAGGGGCTAAGTAACTACTCTGAAACTAACACACCTACTTGTTTACAAGAACTGAAGAAGCATCTTGGATGAACTGCGAAACGTATTCGACCAAATAAACTTTTGTCCAGTAAATAAATAGAATTTCTCCTTTGCCAGAATTTGATACTTATATATAAAGAGAGGCACAAATTGTCATTTGTTTAGGTAAAATACAGAAAATGTGACTATACTGATGAATGGGCTGAGTGCATACCTGTTTCACAATATCATTACCAACCACCACAAACCGGGATGTCCCAGTTTTTTTATTTTGAAAATCTGGTCACCCTAATTGTACTTCCCTCATTGTTTTTTAATGTAAATAAATTATTCTTTTCATTTGATTGAGTATATTTGTTATTTTTGTTAAGCTAACTCTATTATATATTACATATCGTAAGGCTACAGTACAAATCGCATCATATCTAACCCATTAGACCCGTGTGAAATTCCCGGGCTGCCTGATTACCACGAATTACCGCCACTGCAATCTTCAAAAATGAACTGTGTTGTTGAGGGAAACTGCGTTAAAGGTAAAACATTTTATTCTTTAATCATTTTTTATTTTTATTTTTTTAGTTAGGTTACAAGTGACGTTAGCCATAGCCAAGAATAACAGTGCATTGACAAACCTGGTCTCGTTTTTTTCATATTGCTAATTGAATGTAAGCTAATTGTGGTCGCTTTCCCTTATAAAACTGTATTTGTCGACAGTTTAACACACATATTGATACCTAGATTAACTCTTGAATATGGATTTAAAAAAAATAAAATATCGTTATTGTATTTTTTGTAATTTTAGTGAAAGCCATGAAAAGAAATAGGTTTGTTGTAATGTGTCTCTTGTGTATTGTAGCGTTTGGGAGGGCTATCCATGCCCTGGCACGGCTTGGAGATGAGCTGTGGTTCGACCCAATGGCCAAAGGGGTAAGTATTCATTAGAGAAAAACTAGCTACTCTTCTGTAACTCATTTTATGTTGTGTTTTTCATATTAGCTGGCCCTGAGGTCAGTGAATTCTGCCCAATCTGCCTACTCCTGTTTCCTCTTCTCAACACTGTTCTTTCACAAATACACCACAGAGAAGAGCAGTGAGGCCATCAAATGTAAACTACACATTAAGGTACCACCACAATCAATGACTTCACGAAAAATAAAGTAAATATTATAATATAAATAATTTGTCTGTAGACCATACTGCCTCTTTTTCGGCTGCCCTCCATTGAGCGCACTGTGGAGCGCTGTCAGGTCTCCATAGAAGATGACCTGGTGAAAATTAAGTTCTTATGCAAACATGGTAAGGCAGACAATATCATGCTATAAATTGTGGTTATAATTTGTGATTACATTTGATATAGAGTGCATTTGAGAGAAGTGTGAAATGTAACAGAGACAATACATGACAAGGTCCCATTATTTAGTTATTTGTATAGGACAATGCCTATGTAATAGCAGCCTTTGTGATTTGCATGTTTTGCCATTGTTAATAAAACACAGTAGGAAGTAGTAAATGGCTAGACATTGTACATGAATTTGTAGACTCTAATAGAATAAAGTGACACAAAATTAAGAACAAGCTATAATAAAGAAGAAGCTATAAAATAATGTATTAAATATAACACATTAAACTATATACCACACTTTTTATTATGACAATACCAACAGTGGTTAACATAGTTAAAGGAGCATTTTACTTGCCCATTATATTAGTATTTTGCTATATTAAAAAGCCCTTTGAAATGTTTTAGCATTATTCAAACTTCACTCTTCAAATCTGTAGCTCTCTCCTTTTGTCATGTTTTATATGCTTTCAACACTAGGTGGCACTGTGTTCAAACAGTCCCCGTTCTGTTTCAGGCATTGTCAAAACTCATAATCTGCGTTTCCAGGAGAGTGATGCTCTGCAGGCTGCATTTGCCTTCCACCTTTGCCCCAACATCCTCAAAGCTCCAGCCAAGTCATTACATACCTTCTCTATCTACATATTTCAAAAACATTTCAATGCAGTTTAAAATATCTTTTACTTCTATACGTAATGCTACAGGCTCCTTAGTGACATGGTTATGCATTTCCCATTCTCCCAAGAGGAAATCACATTGTCAGTATCTTCTGGAAAAATCAGTCTGAGGAATTATTATGATGGAGGGAATAGTAAGTAAATGTACTGTCTTTAAAGTACACTGGGCAGGACTAAAGAAGAGAGTGAGGGAGGAGGGGCTGGGACTGGACATATGAGGAACAGTGTGTTTGGTTTATCTGATATCCACACTTCAGACTCTGCCCCTGCAGCCAGCTGTTTGTAATCAGAAAAACCTGGCTGTAAACAGGGCAGTCGTGCGTGATGTCACATACTACCTGAAATTGCAGTGGCCACTGTAGGCAGTGCAGGCTCAATTTTGGAATACAAAGCTGCATATTTACCTAGTTTAGTTTATCATTACCAAGAAGGACGAGGAACAGTTTGACAGTGTTATTAAAACATTAAAACTCGATGTACATATTTCAGCAAAAAAGATGATTTTGTGTTTAGTTCCTCTTTAATTATATGCATTGCTCATCTCTAAAGTAGTAAAATAGCAAACAGAAGAGTAGCATTAATGAATCCTATACTGAATTTGTCTTACTTCATGTAATCTCTCATTACCCTTATAGTAAACATAGAATTTCTCATGCCCCTAACCCATATGTCACTGAACCATATGTTATCCATATGTATCTTGTATGTCAGGTCACATGAAGATGATGCAGACAGAGATGTCCTTACACCCAGACGAGTTTGATTACTTCCAGGTCGGAGTGGAATCAGACATAACTTTCTGTCTAAAGGAGCTACGGGTGAGGGCTATTTTTATATTGTGCGTTTATCCAGTCACATGACACTGTATTTTGAATGTGACAGCAGTTTCCGTGGAGCATGCATTTGATATAGTGTTCCTTCCATGATCTTAATGCCGCGGTATTCAACCACCCAGATCATTTACACTTTGAACTTTGACCCATAGCAGTTACTCATCTTGATTCGGAAAGACAGTATGTTCTTTATCACATGACTCTAACAACTTCAGCTATTTTTACTATTCACAATTTATTTTAAGGCAATACCGATATGTTTGAAAGATGCAACCAGAGAGGGTCACAGTGCAGTCAATGTTTTGTGCAAGTTCTAAGGCTGTATAGCTAAAATGGACTGATCAAAATGAAAGCTTTTGTCTAATAAATCACTTTCTAGGTGCTCAAAGTAGTGTACAATTACATGTATTAGTCATTATTTCCCCACACTTCCTAAAAGTAAGCTTCTTTTGTAGCCACAGCCACCCTTGGCTTGATTGACTGAAGCGTGGCTACCTATTTTCCAAACTGCAGTTCCTAAATCTAATTATTATTATCTTTTTTTTTCATACAGGTCATAGCACAAAATCTGTGCATTTGCAACTTTTTTTTTTTTGCATAATCTAAAATAAGCACGTATTTGTAGATAAGCATGTTTATGTGTGCGTGTGTGTGTGTGCGTGTATATATATATGTGTGTGTGTGTGTGTGTGTGTGTGTGTATATATATATATATATATATTTAACTTCTTTTTTTTATTTGAAATCAGCAAGTTGTTGTTTGATACCATTAATGACAGGATAGAATTTTTATTTTATTTTAATTTCTTATTTTCTTATTTATTGTTATTTTTATCTTGGGGCACATGGAATAAACTTAATATGACAATCATTTACTGAAGATCGATGGGTTTCAGGGTAAGACTAAACAAAGGTTATTCATTTATTCTAGGTGCTTCTCCATTTTGCAGCTTGACACAATGTACTTTGGGGGAAATTGAATAGGCAGTGTTTTTTGTCTTATTACATTATAGCCAACAAGGACATTACACACACACAAATGAACAGTGCACTATGAAAGGGACACAGAATTTCACAGTAAATGAATGAATTAACCTACCCAAAAATCTCCCAATGCAAAATTATGAATGTCTCGAATTAGTATAGAAAATAAGAGAATTGGTAGAAATTTAATATTAACATTTAAGATGAAAGGAAATTTTTACATTCAGACATATTATGATAAAAATAAATGATAATTTTTGCTCTAGTAGTCACTGTTTCATGTACAGTGATAGTTTTGACCTGTTTTTGCTGTTTGTGGGACATCCTGCTGAGTGGCTTGTCATTAGCCTGCCCTGTCCCTGCCCTGCCACAGTTAGCTCCGTGAAATCAGGTCTCAAGGATAGATTACAGACCGTGTTTTTTTTATGTGAACAGTGAAAAGGTTATCCCCATTTTGTACAATGCATCTCTTTTTGTTGCATTATGTTCAAGAAGTGAAGATAGAACATTTTAAACTTTAGAGAGATTTGATGTAATATTAATCAAATCAAATCTTAAAGAATGTTTTTTGTTTTTTCAGGGATTACTGTTGTTTGCAGAGTCACATTGTCTGCCTGTGTCAGTTTACTTTGGAGCAGCAGGAAAGTAAGTTTTAATATTTTTTAGCTAATACACCCAATACTATGAAACAGTCAACAATTAATATATAACTGGTTTGTTAAAGGTGGTACTATGTAACTTTTTGGTTGGGGTCCATCACTTTCTTGTTTCTATGGATATGTCATTGCTCTCCCTGCAATGGTCCATAGCTCTACTTTACATTTATTCAATTACAGGTGGTTTTGTAGCTCAAAAATACCTAGGAAAACAGGCACTGTAAGTAATTTTCCTTCAAATGCTTTTCTTCATGGACATGTGACAGCTTTGTCTGGAATGTTCCACAGTGTGATATTAAACCTTTCTATCTTCATGGAGACCAAACCGGACCATGTTACAGGCCTGATCTGTGGAGAGGCAACCCCACTCACAGTCAGATTGTCTGTTTTTCTAGGTATTTTTAAGTTATAAAACCACTAAATGTAAGGTGGAATGGATTAATGTCATACTGTGGAACATTCCAAGCAGAGCAGTGACATATCCATAGAAAGAAGGAGGTGACGAACCACCAACCAAAAAATGACATAGTGCACCTTTAAGAATAACATTTGTATTAAAGAAATTGTTTTAAAAGAGAGGATATGTCATACAAGTACAGTGACTGACTATATTGTAATGTAGTGTATCCATAGTCTATGAATTCTGATCACTGTCCTCAGACCCGTGTGCTTCTCCATTGAGGACATGGTTTTGGAGGCCACTGTGGTTTTGGCCACTCTGATGGACTCTGAGAGCAGGGCCACCTCTCAGCACACAGCCACCCCTCTGCAAACTACTACTACTACCAGGTACCAAGCTAAAGACAAAGAAGAACAGCAATACAGCTCAATAAGGCTGCTGTCTTCTGTGCTTTTTTGTGTCTATATTCACCTTCTTCCACCTTGCCCATTTTTGGCTTTAAATGCTCTTAAACCACACTTTCTTATGGTGGTACTTCCGGTTAAATGGGGATCCCATTCATGTCAATGGCAAATTTGAGAAAAGTCAGTTCATTTGTGTAAAATGTTAAATTTTAATGTGCACCATCAAGTCAATACTCCAAGGATTATCTGGCAGAGTTTAAAACAGCTTTATAGTCCATAATGAATTTATTTGGAGTCAAGGTCGGCAGCCCCGTACAAAATAATACAACCAGAATGATGATGGTGATCATCACGACAACTTTGACAACTTTCGTTGTCAACATGTAACTGCTATTGCAATTTAGAGACAATAATAAATGTATAGGTTTGTTTTCAAAGTTTAAAACAGAGTTATTGCAAATTTACTAACTTCTGACTTTAAAGGCACACTATGTAACTATTTGGTTGGGGCTCCGTCACCCGCTTGTTTCTCTGGAGGTGTCATTGCTCTGCCTAGAATGTTCCACAGTATAACATTAAACTGCTCTCCCCTTTTATAGCCCCAAAATACAAAGGAAAACAGGCATTCGGACTGTGAGCGGGGTCGCCTCTCCTCTGATCTGACCTGTAACTTAGTCTGGTTTGGTCTCCATGGAGATAGAAAGGTTCAACACCATACTGTGAAACATTCCAGACAAAGCAGTAACATCTCCATGGAGAAAAGTATTTGACTCCCCCCAGAATGCATGCATTGCATGCAATGCATTCTTTAAGCAGTGATTTACATACTGATTTGATGTTTGGTTTTAAATTTGCCATCTGTAAGGTTATTAGATTTTTGTTACCAGTGGATGGCAAATGTGAAACTAGTACCCTCTCTGTCCTCCCCTCACCTGGCATTTGTTCAGACTTACCTGTCCTCTCTGCTCCTCTTCTGTCAGGTCAAAGCTGGCATGATGTCAGACAGCAGTGATGTCATCTAGTGGTGATATGTGAGAATACAACAGGGGTGGGTCAGACAATCTAATTACAGAAAGTAGCTTTCTAACACTCAGTTAGGCAGCACATAAATAGCAAATCCAAAAAAAAACCCAAAACATGGATTTGTTTTTTTTTGTTTTTTAAAATGATGTACCACAGTAAACCATATTAATTAAAAAACATCCATTATTTTGTTGCCACATCTTTTCACAGGTACACTGTGTTTCATTCCAAAATCACAGGTCCCAGCAGCAGCAGCAGTCTGTTCTTTCATCCAGTATAATTACAGTCTCGTTCCCACAGAGATTTAGTTCTTGAGCCTCTGTCCTGGCGTGTGGTCAAAATAGTTTGCCCTCATTGGCTGTTTTTAGCTGCTTAAGTGGGTATCGTGTTACAGAAGCCATCCTTATGTCTGTGGCGGGGATAACTGGGGCACAGTGGGGCATGTAAGTGTCTATGTGAATAATCCTCTAATACGCCTACATCTCTGCAGTCACTGTGCTAGGACTGTTGACACAGCACAATGTCACACAGCGCTAAGGTCACTGAACACTAACATCACCCAGCGCTAACGTCAATGATGAAGCGACACTTTTCAGGACTCCTTTACAAACAGCGGAAGTAAAACTAGTCCAGTCCTAAAACAAATAAGCACAGTGGGCTAATCCTTCAGCTAATTCAGGGTCCTGTTCAAGTGTCCTGACAGGATGTCTCAGCAAACAACAAAATACGCCATAATCATCAGTTCATACAAGCACTGCAATAAATAAGAGAATGCAATATGCTTTCACTAGTGCATACTGTATAGCTGATATGTGAACAGTGTTGGAAGGTTACTTTTAAAATGTATTCCCCTACAGATTATAGATTACACACCCCAAAATGTAGTTTGTAACGGAATCCATTAAGTTACTTTAGGTGAGTAACGTAATCTGAATACTTTGGATTACTTGATTTGCTCTAGAGGAGCAAAGACGAGGATATCTTCACATAAAATGTTTTGTCTGCTAAAAGACAATAAAAATGCCCAGTCTTTACTCAACCAAATTAAAAATATTATTGATAGAGGAGGGAGAGACACAGTCCACATGGCATGGTTTAGTCCTATTAAATCCTGGTTTAGTCCTGGTTTAGTCCTGGTTTAGCCCTGGTTTAGTCCTGATTTTAGTCTTGGTTTTAGTCCTGGTTTAGCCCAGAATGTGAAAATAGGAAAATACTGCCGCGTAATCCATTTATTTTAACAAAGTAACTGTAATCCAATTACCACTCACTGAAACAGTAACTGTAACTGAATACAGTTACTCATAATTTGTACTCTTGATTACATAACTCCGGTACATGTAATCCGTTACTCCCCAACACTGTATGTGAAAGGATACACATGCCTCTTCTTTGCTCAAACCCACCATTAAATCATTAGTTTAACATAATTTACTTAATTTAGTGGACAACTCTAATAGTGTAAGTGTGCACATCCTGACATGCTTTAACACTAGTTTAGCAGCACAGTGGCTAGCATTCTTCTCTCACAGCATGAAGGTTCAACTCCTGGTCAGGCAGGCCTTTCTGTGCAGAGTTTGCACTTTCACGTTCATGCACATTAGGTAAAATCCTGACCATGGACCAGGACAATTTTAACTTAAAGGTGCAATTGTGCAACTTTTCTAGTGGAGGGCACTCCATGGATCTGAACTGTAATGTAGCGTAGTGCAAGACAAGTCCTGCTTGTCTCCCTTGTGATAAGTTGCTTTAATCTATTATGCGGAACATTCTAAACCAACAATAACATTTTCATGGAGACAGACAGGTGGCAGATCCTCCTCTAAAATGTTACACAGTGCATCATTACCATTAGCTTACAAATGTTCTGCCTCATCTTATCAGTTATACAGCCTGTTTGATGTGGTACTTAGTATTGTCTCAGAGTGATTATTTTATCTATAAATAATATCAGTTTGTTTCTTTACTTGGTCAAGTCTGTCTAGCCTATTATAGGTCGCTACTAACATTTAGTCTCTAATCACCGCCTGTGGTAACTAAAGGACTTATTTGACTGCTTACCCCCCAAGATTCTTGACTTTAGTGTTAATTATCTGTGACTCACTTGCTCCTATAGATAACTGTAACTATGGATACATGTACAAATAAAGGGCATTTTGCACTATATTCATGCTTTTCTGTTGAGATGAAGATATTATTGCGTTGTCTGGAATGTTTCACATTATGGCATTAAACCTTTATATCTTCATGGAGACCAAACCAGACCAAGTTACTGGTCAGGTCTGTGGAGAGGCAACCCTACTCACAGTCAGAATGCCTGTTTTTCTAGGTATTTTTGTGCTATAAAACCACCTGTAATTGAATAAATGCAGAGAAGTTTAATGTCATACTGGGGAACATTCCAAATAGAGCAAGCGCATATCCATAGTAACAAGCAGATGACGGACCCTCAACCAAACATAGTTACACACAGTTACATAATGCACCTTTAATGTTATGTGTAGGTCTGCAGTGGATGCTGTAGAAACAGTCCATCTTCAGGACACTTCAGGAGTCACAGAGCTGGTCACCTCGAGTCAGGGCAGCCCCCTCTTCTCTCAGACTGACCTCCCATGTGGACAGGGGGAGCCCAAGCAGGCCTGTGCCCCTGCTCCCTCTCCTGCTCCCTCTATGGTAACAACTCACATTCAACTACAGAGCTAAAACACCACCCTTTTTGCCTATTAAGTTAACAATACAAGACCTATATACCTTTATTTAATGGTGGTCTATGTAACTTTTTGGTGGAGGGTCTGTCAACTGTTTTTTTATGGAGACAAGCAAATCCTCAACATGTCTGTAGAACGGTTTGTGTCGAGAACAAACAAGGCTAAAACAATAGCTGCTAAGTTGAGAGGTATCCAGGTATAACCAATCTGAGTGCTGAAATGATCTAAATGAGTGAAGATGTATGGACCCTGTATTTTGTTTTTGAAGACGAACCAAACAACATTGTAACATGGTTTGAACCTAAAAAAGTTAATTTATTATAAGATGGAAGTGGGTAGTGCTGAGGTTTCGTTGCAGACTGGTGTTACCTTTAACAGATCAGGGAGACAGTGAGCCGAAGTACAACGTGTTTTGTATTTGTTGAAACTGGAAATGTGCCCAGACCTTTTTCTGCGTCACTGTTTTGAAGTGTGTCAACAAGTGAACAAGTTGCTCATACTACATTCTGTATAACTCAGTTTAAAAATACTGGCATATAGCAGACTAATAAATATGAACAAGATGTTATGTGGTACAATACAAATTGGGCAGCCAGTCCTTCAAACATAACTCATTTTGCTCAGTTTATCTTCATGAATTGACTACATTTGTAAAGTATTGCCCATTTTCAAAACATTAGGCAGTGTACTTAAAGCCATAGTATGTCACTTTATAGCTAAAATAAGGTATGTTTTTTATGGACTGAAAAACAAATAAAAACATGCATCCTTATTGCAGGCTTGCATCTCCACAAAACAGACAATTATTTGGCCTGGAGTAGAGCCTCCTCCGGCTTGTGTCTGTGGAAATAGTTATATTATTCCACAGTGCGGCATAAAATGTATCTATCTCCATGGAGATTGTTCAGAAATATGGTTTTAATTCTCCATTTCCATGGAATTACACAGTTGATTTCAGAATGTTACATAATATCACTTTAAAGGGCCCATATTGCACTGTTCTCCTCACAAACATATCTGGAGTTGTGTTTTGTTTCATTCACACATGTTTAACACACAAACCCTTTATATAAGACTGAATTCTTCTCTTAAACTGAAAACACTCTGTTCCACCTTGTGATGTCATTTGGTAATACAGGAAAGGCTCCACTTTATGTTTTTCCATTATGTTTTTAAACTCCATACACCTTGAGTAGAATTATTTGGATATTTTCAGCCCTTGAATTTCCAATCTTTACTGATCTAAAGGTAAAATGTAACTGTTAACATGAAAACTACCGCTACATGACATCACAAGGTGGAACAGAGCATTTTGAACTTTGGAGATGTAGACATACTAATAATAAAAGGTTACCAAATGTGTGAATGAAACAAAACACACCGCAAGGTATTTTTTTGAGGAGGTAACAGCACTATAACATGGCTTAAAGCTCACAAGAGTAAAGTTTGTGTAAAATAGGACCTTTAAATATAATAAATAAATAGACTTTCCAAGTGAAAACATCAAAAGATGCATCAATGCTCTAAAATAATCAAAATGCAAAAAGATTCAGATTCAGTTTTGACTTTTTTTTTGTATTGTAGGTGTGTTCTCTTCTGTTCAAGGCTCTGTCTGAGGATGACTCTCATATGCCTGCCAAAGTCTTGGTTTGTGTCAGTGATGAAGAGGAGGAGATGGGGGAAGAGACACGGAGCCCCTTCCTTTGAAGATGCATTGTGTAACTTTTCTAGTGGAGGGTTTGTCAAATGCTTTTCTCCATGGACATGTTCTTGGATTATCTGTAATATTTCACAGTACGGTATTAAACTTTCTATCTTCATGGAGACCAAACCAGACCAACTGACAGGTCAGATCTGTGGAGAGGCAGTCTGGCTCACAGTCACAATGCCTGTTTTTCAGTGTTTTTCAGTGAGCTGCTTAATGTCATACTGTGGAACATTCCAGGCAAAGTAGTGACTTATCCATAGAAACAAGCAGAAGATGGACCTCCAACCAAAAAGCTATATAAACAGCACTCACTTCTCTGTATTTATCTTAAATGGGAAAATATTGTTATATTTATTGAGAGAATTCTTTAGATATTTATATTTATGTGTATGTTGACTGTTTACATAAGGACTATTTGACTACCTTTTGTTCTATAGATTGCATTGCATAAATGTTTATTTATTTATATATACATATATGTTAAATTGTTTTACTATTTGTTCATTTATTGTTGTTTACAGTGTTTCTTATAAAAGCAAAAGTATGAAATTGGTATGCATTATTACTACAATAGTCTTAAAATTTCACTTTACACTCAGTTTATTCCTGTCAAATGTAATGTTTATATTTTCATTCAATGTCAAGCATTCAATAAAATTGTGGAACCACTACTTTACGTCATTTATATAATTATTTTTGCATTTTACCATTACCTTATATTTATTGTGGCCACCAAAGACATTGGCTCACCTGTGAGAAGCCATGCCCATCTATTGCAAATACATTTGTTTCTGAAAAATGTGGAGCTTCAACAACAGGAAGGCAGTTGGTTTAAACACATGCAATGTTTCCTTTCTTTATTTTCAGAATCCAAATATGTGCAAATGTGAATGGGGAGTTTCTGTCATGTATTAGCCCTAGGGTAACTAAATGCGTCTGTGGTTTAGCTGTAGTTGCACAACTTCCGAAGTCTATAACCTTTACACAATTCAGTCCCTCATTATCTGTCAATGGATAGAGTGATATTACTTTAAAATAAATAATTACATAAATTGTATCAAGTATAAAGTTAATTACCTATTTATGTACTCAAGGTATGTTGTAAATGTGTTGAGCATGTCATATCTTGTACACATACAATCTTTTGCACAAATTTCGTTTGCAATATAGTGACAAACATACTTGAGTAAGGTGTAAAAAACCATGACAATATTTCTACATTTAATGTGTGTTCTATAAACTATGCAAGTTAAATGTAACCAAATTTTGTTAACACGTATTGCTCCATTTGATTAATAGTTCCATCTAGTAGTTTAATAGCCTTTTGAAACAGGGTGGAGTCCAAACATTCGTAGGGATTTCCTTGTATCCCATATTGCCCTATCCAAGTTTGCATTTAAATGGTAACACATGAAAACGCGGACCATAACCAGTTAATAAAATATTTTTTATAAATATTGTACAGCACCTGTACAATTCAAATAGTTTTCTAAACATTGTGAACTGACATTCAAAAAAGAGCACATGTCCTCGCTCATAACAAAGTCAGAAGAGGACGCCAGAAAAACTAAGGTAGAATTGGATGTAACCATAATAACCGACAGAATTGCTTTAAGTTAAGGCTGAGTAGATTGTCCTCACTGCAATGAAATGTACAGTCTGGACTATTTACACGTGTAGGAGTCTAATGCAAGCCCTTTATTGACAACACTGCATTCTTTAACTTTAAGGCATACAACTGAGCCATTAATGCCATGCATCACGAAAGATATACAGGATACTACTTCTACTAAAGAAGTCCGCTTAGCATTGTCTATAGGTGAGACAAATTATAATTGTTTTACTGGTATGCGTGAGAACCAAATACGACAATTTTCTTTGAAAAATGTAAAGAATCAATTAAAATTTTAAATAGTTTTACTTTTTTAAATATTATGTGTATAGTTTTGAGTCAATTTACCAGAAATTAAGTAACACAAAATGCAGTTTTAGCAAACTGACACATCCACATCCAAAATTATATCTGCCCAAATCATTTTAGAAGTAGTTAAAACATTTTTTCAATTGTATTTTACAGCAATATCACCATATAACCTAGAAAGATAAAGATAATGAGATATTGCCTAACCTATACTATCAACATAAATATTGAACATTACTACCATTTGGAATGCAAAAAAAATACTCACATATATCATACTCGTCGTACAAACTTTCACAGTATGTTGGTTGTCGTTTGGAAAGATCGACCCGACTCAGACTCACTTAGTACTGTTCATCACTCTCCACATCGAGAGCAAACATGTTTATCTCCACCTGGTTCAACGTCGGCGTTTCATCATGTCCCAACGCGCAGAGGGGGAAAGGTGGAGTTATTTCTTGGGTCTGTTGTGAAGCATTGCTCTATAAATATGCTTTCAAACGAACTCAAATTGAAACGGTTTGGAGAGACTGACTGGAATTGTTGTATTGCCTAAAACAATGAACTGGGTAAAGCGCTTTCCTGAATGGTGAATTCTAAGGTTTGCATTTGGAAATGTTTTTTTGTTCAATTTAGTGGCATTTCTTAAAGATGCATTGTGTAACTTTTCTGGTGGAGGTTCCGCTACATACTTTCCATGGAGATATTATTCAAATATCATAATTCCTCTATGAATGGTTCGCTGATCTCCACAGATTCTGATTGTAATGTGTCATATAGAAGTTGTCTGCTTGTGATAGATAGTTTAGACTTATACAGTGACACATTCTATACAAAGCAATAACATTTCCATGGAGACAAGCAGGTAGCAGACCCTCCACCATTGAAAGTAAGAAGTAATTTTCTATTATTATTATTATTATTATCTAAATATTCTTCTGTAATCATGTCTCTAATGTTCCATCAATCAATTTAATATCAAAGAAAATTCTCTTTCACAATTAGTTTTTCAATAAAAATTGAGGATTTATTCTAGTTTGATCAATGTCATTTCATAAGACTTCATAAATTTTTTTTAAGTGAAATGTTTTTGCTATTTGCTAACGTGGCACTATTTCTAGACATTTCATTCAGTTAGTAATAGTATTTTGGCTGTTTTAAAAAAAAGTACTTATAGACTATATATATAACCACAACTAAGAAATTTCTATCAATCTTGACACCAAAGTAACTGTTTACCTAGATTCATTTAACCAGACCATAATAATTTCCCAACTTTGTATTTCGTGCCGCATTCTTCAGTGTGCAGTATCCCTTCTTGACACCAGTGAGCACAAATGGCACTGTAGGTGGCCATTTTTAATCCTACCTCCTTTACCTCTTTAGTCACCTCCTCGCCGCCATAACATGTGCGCTTTCTCTGGGTAATGAAAAACAAGATACCCGTTTGTTGATGACATCTAGAGTGAGACAGAGGCAGTGGTCTTGGGTTCTGAGGAAAGTCCTTGTTCTGTCCAGCAGAGATTGGTCAAGGGTTTTTGTCCAATTAAAAAAGACTAGTCTGTGTATTCAGCCACAATTGACAGCAGCACAGTGATGTCATCTGGCTTTCCTCCTATGGGCAGAAAAAAAACATAGTCAACTCTAAGCAGGATGGTAGCAAAGTAATCATTTGGCCAATCAGAAATTGTCACAGTCTATTATAAGTCCAACCCCACTTAAATAGCAGCCTCAGTGGCACTATCCCTTTAAGAATTGCTTATAAACAGGTACTTAGTTAAGTTCCATGAAATACGCATCATATCTTTTGTAACCTAAGGTGAGAGTGGGAAGAAAAATACAGCATTCGATGTTAAAGAAATGATAATGAAGAATGAACATTTTGAAAGTACTTTTATTTCTAGTTGCATCATTTATATATTAAAAATACAATATTAGAAAATGCAGTAGTTTCAAAATTCTAAAATTTCAAACTATATTTAGAGCCACTAAGGAAAAAAGAATGAAGAATCACAGAGAAGAATCACAATATAACAAAAAATAATGTCAGTTTCTTAGTATTTCCTCTCCATCTGCCATTTATCTTACTTTTAAGATTAAAGCCAATCTATAACTATTCAGGAGCACAGTCTAATGTGACCCGGTAGTATGCCATTTGTAGTCAATACTTCAAATCGTTTTCCGTGTATCTGATACAGTGTTTGTGACTGGGTTTCAATATTCGTCACGCTTGAAGCAGCAACTTCAATGAAAAAGATTATAGACTCTTACCTCTTACATTCAGGCCGTTGTCACATGCAACTGAGGCAAAGAATTATGAGAGATCTTTAACCATCATTTGAGCCTCTCGGCATTCATTACACTGTGGATTTCATTAATGTTCTAGGCATAAAGACAATGTCATGACATAGCAATATGAGACCTAAGAGGATATAATGAGTATTTGACATTGCATATCATAATTTTTTGAGGGGCCCTTGTTTGTTCAGACTCTAACTATTATCCACAAGGCAAATAATTGGAAACAAGATAGCTCACCACATACTAATTCAATTCTAGAAACAAAAAGTAAAAATATAATTGGCAATAATAAGTTCTAAATTAAGTAGCAAAAATAGCATATAGAGATGGTGTCAAATAAGACATAAGTATATAAATAAACTATTATGTTTACAAGTTAATAAGAATACATTAATAATTAGACACGAATATGTATCTCAGCTATTTACAAAAAGGTTGTAAAAGAAACAGTAGCAAAGAAAAGTAATGATTGAAAGGATCATACCTTTATTCTGTTACAAAGGTGAGTTCTGTGTTTGTTTATGGCGTATTGATACGAATGTAGTCTGTACTTCTCACTGTTGAGTTGGAAGGTCCATGCTTGTCGGAAGGCAGTTTATCGCAGTGTCCTCCCGTCTCTCCTCTGTGACAAATGTCTCCAGCTCACAGCCGATATTCGACACTTTACAGATCAGTTTGTTACATCCGTTCAATTGCTACACCCTTACGAGAGGTCATTTTGACGTTATATTTTGAAGTTAGAAGATCCAGAGTTAACAACATACCCCTCATTATAAAATGTATTTTGTTAACATGGCGAATTTGACCAATGGCACCAGCACTGTTTTTAAGTTAAGAAAATGTCTGTTCGTCTCGAGTTGTCCAAAAGCTTTTCATTAATGGCAGGACTTCATCTAGAACCTGCTCTTGGTCGATTTGTGATTTCGTTTCACAACTGTTTTGGCCTTTTAGTATTAACAACACACTTCTGATTTCTGCAGCATTTGAATGCTGGGTGATTACCTTGAAGCTTTTGACTCTGCATTTATATAGTCTGCACGTTGTCAAAAGCTCGGTTCGTTTCAGATCATTTCTCCAAGACTGAAGTCAAAGAGTAGCTGCAACCGCTTGCTCAGGGCTATGGCACTGAAAAAGAATCATTACAACAAGTCCATTTCACATCTTTTCATTGTATTCACTCTTTGTTTTAAACTGCACTTTACTTTTCTCAACATCACTCTTCTGTTTCTATGGTGGTTATGTCAATGTTCCACAGAATGACATTAAACAGATCTACCTTGCATGTATTCAAGTGCAGGTGGTTTTATTGCTCAAACATACAGTGAAAAACAGGCATTCTGACTGTGAGCAGGCTTTCCTCTTCACAGATCTGACCTGTAACTTGGCATGGTTTGGTCTCCATGACAACAGCAAGGTTTAATGCCATACTGTGAAACATTTCAGACAGAGCAATAACATTTCCATGGAGAAAATCAGGTGACAAATCCTCCACCAGAAAAGTTACACAATGCACCTGTAATGAAGCTTGCAGCCCAGACAACAATATTTTACAGAATTCAAAGAGTAACACATTTCAGCCACGTAAAATCAAAATGAGTATTATTTCAACATGCCAAGCATTTTTAGCATCCAGAGTGCTCAGTTTCTAGGAAGTTTGTCTAGTCTGGCCTGCCACTGTAATGTCTAAATTATCTTCTCTGCTCATTAGTTAGGTTAGGATTAGTCCGTGGTAAAAGTGCTGACAGTCAAGTACAGATTTTAGTGTTACAATTAAGAAACAAAAAAGTTTATATTGGCATGACTACAGCCAGTCTTCAGACAATACTACTTTATGGTGTCGGGTAAAGTACATGCTCTGATGTCAGTGCACTCCTTAAATACTTTTACTACAGAAACCAAAGCTTGGTGCGTCTCAGTGTCAGTTCTAAGAAGATGCCCTCCCGTTGCCCCCGGTCAAAGATAGTTTTAATGACTATTTTCATTTCATATATCCACTACCCCGGGACATAGCGTACTTCAAGTCTAGTCTAAGTTAATGCAGGTAAACGCACTGGCTTTCAGAGAAATAAAAAAAAAAAAAACACTATGTGGAGGAGGATACCTGCTCATCTCCATGGAAATATCATTGCTTTAGCTAAAATGACAGACATTAAAATCAAAAATCCATCTCCATGGTAACCAGCAGGTGACCACCAGGCCAAATTACAAGACAAAAATTTATATGGATAAATTTTACCTTTTTTTGTCCTGCAGAAATCCTTTTAAATTAAATCTGGACTTTATCAAATTTACTGAAGTTTATAGAGAGTTTTATATATTATATAATTATTATATTTATATGTTATATAATTATATATTTATATATAATTTAAGTTTTACTTTATCTTCTATGTTACGAGTACAGGAAGAGCTTTAGTGGTTAATGAGATAATGGCATTTAAAAGTTTCAGGTTGAAATCAAGCTAATAATTCAGAATGAGCAACAGTACATCCAAGTAAATGTTTCACTAATTTCATAATGGTTACATTTTTGCACAGTGGACCATTGGCTTTAATAGATATATGTGATTTCTGGCTTTCAAGTGTGATTCCCAATATTCTATAGTCATGTCATTTAATTGAAATGGGGGACAGATAGATTTTGTGCCATTTCTGAATAAATATGGTGGGACAATGGAACTAATAAAAATATCATATTTGTGAATATTTCTTTAGATTCAGGAATACCAAGCGGCGGGCCAATAAAAAGCAACAGTTTGAAATGGAAAATACCGTCCAGATTTCCCAATAATATAAACATTTCCTGTTGCTGTGGACACTTCAAAGGCTGTGTCTGAGGTCCTCTGCTTGCCCCGGGAGAGTGCAGACATTGACCCTGACAGTAGAGGAGAGGGAGGGAGGTGGAGAGAGGGGGTGAGAGAGAGCGAGAGATGGAGAGTGAGGGCAGTTCTGGCAAAGATCCAGCATCCACTTGGACCCCAGCCTGACGTTTGCGGTGTGTTCATGGCACTGTTACAGACGATGCATTCACAGACGCATTGAAGCATGGGTGAAACAAATGCCTAGGGACAAGTACAGTAGAGTTCACGGAGGGGTTACACTAAGTTGAAAGTCTTCTACACAACACACTTCTTCCACCAATAAATTTAAAAGAAAGTCATTTGTTTTGAGCAATAGGTAAAATATAAGGGTGGCATGGATGCAAAATGGCCAGGACTCACAGCAGGAAGAACACTAACGTTTATTTAAAAAAATAATAATAATAAAATTAAATGCTGCCAGGAAAACAAACTTCTGTGCATTCCGAAACTACTTATTAACTACAAAAGTACAGTTTCCTTACTGACAGAGCATCTCTTATCTCATTTCTGATGTCAAACAAAGTGAATGAATATTTCCCAAAATAAAACATTATTCCGAGAGAAAATAATTTACTTGTGTGCTCTTGTGTTTTTCAACCAGTTTTGTTGTTTGCCTGTCAAATGTTATGTTTACCAAAGAAACCAGACCATGTCATGGCATGCAGACGTTTTTTACAGTCTAGACTCTGGTCTGAGTCTACTCCATGCATTGTCCTTGGGAACACTTGTTTATCTTACATTTTTTAAAAGGACCATGCAAAAATAGATTACTCTTAAATAGAACAAATACCTAGTTTGGTAACAAGCTACTTTTATATGCTGTCCCTGCGGAGGTATACACATGACAAAAACAAAAAAAGAGTGATTTCACATTAGCTCATTATCTACAGTAATTTATAGTACAGTACTAAAAAAGGATGATAAAGTGTGTCACAAATGCATTTAAACATATGTTGTGTGAATGCCTCAGGTATTTCACAGGTAAATATGCTCATACCTGTCACTGAGTACTGCCCCCTCGGCTCCAGGTGGGACAATGGACAGCTGGAAGGGTGTGTTGAAATAGTGCTGCTGTTCATCTGAGCGGTGGACCACCTCTCCCCCTCGCACCACCAGGAAACCAGAGTCTCCCAGGTTAGCCGTGTGCAACGTGTGGCTCTGCCTGTCCAGCACCACAATACAGGCTGTGCTGCTGCCTATGAGGACATACAAACGTTTAGAAGATATTTTATATCGTTTCCAGTTAAAAGATGGTTAGATTTTCACAGAGAGATAATTGTAAACATTGTTGAATTCTGTTATGCAATAAAGACGTTTAGAACAAACAAAATAACATACTTAGAAACGGGGACTCTTTACAATTGCAAGAATAGAACAAAGATTTAGTTGTCAAACACATATAGTTGATGACAGCTGATCGTACACCATTAAGATGATAACAGCTTAAACAGAATGTAACTTTCTGCAAGTGGCACATTCTCCATGGAGAAAGATCTGTTTTATGCCATACTGTTGAATACTATAGCCAACATTTCCATGGAAACAAGCAGGAGGAGCCTTCATTCATATCAAATAAGAGTCAGGTCTGTGGAGATGCAAGCCTGCAGAAAGCAAGGATACATGCTTTTGAATTACTCTGTGTACGAATTGTGCTATACAAATAAACCTGCCTTGCCTTTCAGTGTAATAAACATACACATGATTTTATTCTAGAATTTTTGGCTAAAGTTACATACTGTAGCTTTAATTTTACTGAGCCCCCAGTTCAAGTTGTAAGTTACGTCAGCGGTTGGTGAAATACTAATATGCATAAAACTCAAGAACAATAAAATGCACTTTTCTGTTGATGCACCCATCCCTTCATCCATTTTTATTTGTTTACTTGATATTTATATAACAATTAAAAAATGCTTCAAATGCTGAACGTTGCAAAATGGCGATCAGAAAATGAGTTTAGCCTATTCTGTTGTTATTCTTTAACTATCATCAATAACACTCTGCAGGGGTGTGACTGTGTCTGGCCTTCCATTAGACACACTATAGAGAGGAAATATGAGCTTTGTCTGTGCCAGGCTTTCAGTAAACGACCACACCTTCTTCTTCTTCTGCCGCTGCTGATGATTCAAAAACCCAAATATGCTCAGAGGGACCAACCTTGAGACTGCACGCACTGAATGACTCACTCGGCTCTGTGTTCGCTCCAGATCAACAATTACGCACGGCCAACTCAAGAACATTGTGAGCCGAGAAGGGAGAAGAATGAAGTGTTGTTTTACTGTGGAAAACTACTGCCATTTGCCGCTAAAACAATCCCAGTGAATAGGACAAGATGAGGCAGGCTTTGTTATCAGGATATCCCATAAGCAAGAGGAAAGTACAGATGAGAAAGTGTATTAGATTAGGCAGGCTGGGGCAAGGGACATTCCCTGGATTTTTAAAATGGAAACTGGCTGCATGGTGACTCACAATGTAAAAATCCCTGTTGAGCTAAACCGCGAACACACCGAAACAAACAACATAAGAATTCAAAGCAGACATGGCTCATTTGTGAGAACTCGAATAGATGGTACGAGGAAAAAAAAATGTATTAATTTCTACAATAGGGTGCAAGAAAAGTATCTTAATTCCTACTAACACCTGCTAAGAGAGTTATAGAAAGGTTTCAAAACATAACCTTTACATTCTTAGTTCTACTACCCACATGACAATATTATGGATTGTCATTCAAAATTATGAATTTCAAGGTGCAAGATGTATAATTCTGATAGAGCTGGCAGTCATTGTGAACAGTAATCTCATTGTATTCATTTTATACTTAATGCTTGCTACAGTTAAAGTGAAAAATGTTCTGCTTAGTAACCTTGGATGATGTTTGCTACACTGATTTGTCATAAAAGCTGCAGAAGCTCCGTAAGATTCCCATGGTAAAACTATCAGCTAAAGATAACCTTTATAAATGGACAATACTAAACCTTTTGTTAGACTCGCAGACCCTCAGACTCACAGAAACTCTTATATTTTTTGCCTGTGTGTCACCCTGATGCTGTAAATCTATACTGTAACATCATCAAAAAATATTGTAGAATGATCTCCGTGCCTGTTCTTTGTAAGATACAGGATGGTATGATGTTGATTTCTGTTCTAACTATACCGAGATAGATGGACAGGCGATAATACAGTCTAATTAAGTTAAATCTACATTAAATTTTCAGTTTTCCTTAAATAGCACATACACAGTTTGAAAAAAAAGATGAAATAGCACTCATTTATTAAAGAAACAGTGTGAATTTAGCTGATTTAAATGCAAAATTCATCATTACTTGCATTAATTGACCAGCAAGTCTGGCGTCTCTCCCCTCCTCTTGCACACACCTGTCTGCTCCTGCCCAATTGATAACTCGCTCTGTTTTTTTTTTTGTTTTTTTTCCTTTTTTACCATTTGAAACTCCAAATCACAAATAAATATGTGAAATTGTGACAGTAAATAATGCTGGAGGTTTGGTTGTGAAACGTAAAGCACAAGTACGTTTTGAGGAATCGACTGCTTCTATCGTCTTTCATGTAAGTGCACAAAACACTGCCTGCTCCTTGGTCACACAGACAACCCGCAGACAGACAGCCAAACTAACACTGTACATTAGTTTCAAAGCACAACTAGATTATAAATGCACAAGTAGACAACTCAAACTGATATTAACGAGGCTGTCTGGTCTCATATTTAAGACATCAAATACACTAGGCCATTTGAAGCCTGCCTGCTTCTTTTTGTGCACCTATAAATGAATAAAAGCAAGTTAGATAAGTCTAATGCCATACCATGGAACATTCCAGACATTGCAGTAATGGAGACAACATGGCAAATCCCCACCATAAAGTTATATACTGTACCTGTAAGCAACAGTCTTCAATGAAATAAATACACAAAACGTAATACTGTGCATGACTAGTGAGACCGTATCTACATTAAAAATATTGAAATAAATTCATCTATTGCTGGTTGGTCCACCTCGTGTCCCATTTGAACCTTGAGGCTTTCGACTTCCAGCTGTTCCTGTGACACACGCTGATCCAGTTTATTATTGTCTATGTCACAGCGGGGCCTTTGTTTATCACTTGCAGCTTGTTCTGAATGGACTGGCTTTAATTGCAACTGGGTTCTGCACAATCCATTTTAAGATTGGATCACAAATAAATACCCAAAGTGAGCTCAAGAAACAGAAATTCTTCCAATGCCTTCTGTTAATATGTGAATCTTGGTTTGAAATAATATCTCTTAAAAAGTCCCATACATACATGATAGGAATCACAATAAACTTTTCCACAATCAACCCTTGTGTAGTGTAGCTTGACTGACCCAGCAGCGGCACTTTGTTCTGCAGTAGCTCATAGTAGCCGGTGGTGAGGACTCCCACTGGGTTACTGGGCACAAAGCGGCCCTCCTTCACCAGGCGCTCACACGTCCTCATCAAGGTCCCAGAGAACTGAGAGGGGTCCACACCATAGTCGCGCCAACCTCCCACACCATCCGCAACACCTGCCAAATACAGCCTTCATCACAAACAGAAATCACAATGTATTTCAAGCACCTTATAATGGTAGTACAGTAAAATTACTATTGTATTGTACTTTATAACAGCAATCAAAATTACCATCTGTGAATAACCTTTAACATTTCAGTAATACTACTTGGTTTTATCGTTGTTGGTGTTGGTAATGATTTAGCCTGTGGTCACTGGATCAGGGCAGCTCTAAATTCTTCCTAGAAAGGAAACTCTGGTCTTCTTTCCCCTGTGACAAAAGCATTGACCGTACAAGGCTAACCCTCTGCAGCTAATCAGTCAGAGGCCAATAACATGTAAATAGCGCCAAGGAAACTGGAGTCATACCTAATGAGCAAAGGCATTTTAGATTTAGATTTATTTATTGTCATTTTGAAAAGGTTTTATTTTATAGTTAGTTTAGTTAACTAATTATGCGCTTTAGAGCCTGATTTAAGCAGGTACAAAATAGAGAAGACACAGAGCACATTTGTGTGCCATAAAATGTATATATATTGAATGAAGGCAATCCAAGAATTTGATCTGATTATTAATCCAATACTCACTAATGCATCCACCAGTTTGTTAGGTTGGATGTTAAGGGTAACAGCTGTATTTGTAAGACAATTTCATATCTTTTGCAAAGGGAAGACATATTTTGCAGCTTAATTTGTACAAGTTAGTATATGGTCCTCCTTATTAAGGCCTACAGTGCTGTCATTAGACAGCATGCTGGGCAAAGTGGACAAATATCCAGCAAAGACATCTGTTATGGACAGCTTATGTAAATAATCTTTTATTTATTTTTTATCTCACCTAAAGATTTGATAAGTTGTATATGAAGCTTTGAAAGCATTGATTATATAGAAGTGCTTTAGGAGACATAGGAAAAGCCAGTCCGATAGGCACTTTGGGTCTGACCCTGAATCTAGGCTCAGATATATGTATATATATATATATATATTATACACATAATTTTTACGGCCAATAAATCTTGACCTGTAACAAATGGACATGTATTTGCACTGAAATAGAGACTGGTCTAACAAATCAAAACAGCTTTATCAGAGTACAAACGACCCGCCAGACTGCCCTTTGACCTCTCATTTACGTCACGGACTCACGGCCAATGTTAACACAATGTGACTTTCTGTTTATCTATTCAAGAAGATTCAAACGTATGGATAATTCAGTGGTTAATAAAAACTATTTAATGATATCTCTGCATGGATTTATTTAGATCTGTATAGACATTTTGATCCATTCAGGCAATATAAGTGCATAAGATCTACCCTCACCTCCTGCTAGGTCTCTTGATGACATAATAGTAGTAAAAATTCTACTCTAATCCCTAAACCTTTATGATTACAAATACAAATCGTTATAACTATGAATAACTACTCACCCAAAACATCCGCAGTCCTGTGTCTGGCGATGAAACACGCGTCGTCTCCATAGCACATGCCTTTTTTGAGGATACCTTTACGAAAGTCTTTGCCGAAGCCGCAGCTCGCAGTCACCAGGCTGTAGTCTCGGCTATCCGTCTGTGAAAGCCCGCCGATGACCGCTCTGGCAACGAGTCGACCGTAAGAAAGCACCGACAACATCACCTAAAAACACCCTAACAAACCAGTCTCCACGCCGGACAAGCAAGCGCCTTTCTTGCGTATTGACTTGCTCCCGTCAATCGATGTGCTCCTTGGGAAACAAAGCAGGCTGCAAAAACAACAAGTTTGGGGGTACTGGCTGAAAGTTCCCAAAAAGCAATCGTCTCATCCGGTGCAAATTATCCTCGTTAGTCGGTTCTGGTTCTTCTCAGCCATGGTGCCGGTTGTGCCCGAGATAAATCCTGCTACATAACGAGGATTGTGGAGCTAACGCCAGCAAAAGCAGCCCGGTGTGTTGAGTGGACAGACGCACACGCGAAATGTGTCTTGTGACTGCTGTGACGTCAAGCATCGTTACGCAACAGTTTCTTCAAAATAAAAGCACATCATCCATATTTTATTTATTAGAGCTTCCGGCGAATTCCACGCTAATAATAAAGAGGCAACAACCCGCCACCTACTGTACCAATTTTTTATTTTCAACCAATATAATTATAGGGAATTATGTAGTTTAATATGCATAGATGTAATTTTATATAATTGATTCTACCTTTTTAGGGTTAATAAAATGTTTTAAAGGCCAGAATATATTCTTAATCCCTTATTGTTTCTATTTTAACTAAAATGCCAGACTAAGATGACTCACTTCATATAGAAGTGGTTTCTGAACTGTTTTTATATAAAATTCCGATTCAGTTTTGTTTTTATTTTTATTTTTTTTTGAGGGTTTGAAGTACATGGTTGATTTGACTGAAAAAAGTGGGTTACAGATTTCCATTAATGTTTTACATATTCATGAGATTACTAGTTCCCTGGATCACTAGAAATATATTAAGAAAATATAAGGGCGCGTATAAGCCCCCTTGGAACATGAAAAAATATATGCATTTCAATGTGCATCAAATGCGCCTCAATGCAATGCAAATGTATTCCAACAAATGCAAACTATGGGCAAATTGTGGCATGTGTTGCTGAGAATAATCAAATTCTGTTCAGTTGTGGTGCACTGAGGAAATAAACATGGACACAAGAATGGCACAGTTTGTTAGAACATCATGTATTGTACTTATTGCAGATTTAAAAGCATAAAACATCAAACAAAATGAATTTTCAAATACAAGTTTCCCCCTAATACACTCCGTTTATTAGAAAGGTTTCAACAATACAAGAGTGCCTTTTATTAGTTTACTTTAGCACAAGACGTGTTTAAAAATGTGGTGATGCAGTGGAGTGCTGATGTGCAGATACCAACTGTAAATGAAAATCAAATAATGAAGTCTTAAATTGTTTGTGACTTTCCCATCAGTCTAAACAGCCATTAATAATCATTACAGACAAGTGTGGAAAAAGATGAATAATAACCAAATCAACTCGAAACATTGTGCACAGCTTTAAACAAGGCATTCCTGTGCATTAGAGTAGCAATATGTTAACGTTTTCCTGATTGAACAGTCGTATGTGGCAAAGACTAGCTGCGAATGGAGTGCAAAAACACCTGAGGTTTTTCATGGTGACATATCAATTTACCCCTGTGGACAAAACAAAATATTTGCTCTCATCAGAGTGGGAGTGGATATCTTTTCAGTATTGGCAGCACGAAGGACGCAGAACCCTTCATATGCAGAAGACAAGAAGCAGGAGTGCAGAGTGGGACCCCAGAGCGCCCCCTATCATTTTTTGGCCTGTTTCGTGACCATGTTGCGAGGAGGGGTCACTGGGCGGCTGCCATTTGGCTTCTTCTTTTCGGCTGGTTTCAAAATCTAGACGGGAAAAAATGTGCAAGCATGTTTTAAACAAATATCAAAATGCCAAATTCATGTTTAAATATTATTGTTAAGGTTAAACTTTTACAATTACTAAGAGTGTCCTACTTTGCTTTGATTAAATCCAAGTACTCAAAAAACGCAACTTGGCAAGTCATATAGAATGACAAAGTTGACATTTAGTGGGCAATTTATGTGCATAAAAAGTAAATGTCTGACCTGAAAAGAGCACATTAGGGTGTCATCCACACTCATCATGGCACCTGCGTTGTCAAATTCTCCACAGTAGTTCGGAGCAGAGAATAATGTCACGAGCTGTCTCTTTGCAAAAAACTCATATCCATCTTCAACAACCTGCGGAAAACACAAGCTCAAATAAGTGTTTATCCAAATAAATTAAAATATTAGATTTATTGTCAATGAAGTGCAATACTATTTGTAAAAATCTGTTTTGAAAATCCATGCCATGTTACAATAAGATGAAACAATGTTAAACCCTACACTTTCTTTTGATGCTGGCAAACAGCAGGAAAGGTATTTGCTCAAGCAGATAAAGAAAAGTAAATATTTGATAAGAGCTTTGTAAAATGTATTACAAATTACTTAAGTGTTTCTCTTGGGGAACAGTGCAAAAGTGTCACTTATTGGTGTTAGAGAAGTTGTTTCCTCATTTATGACTCAACCGTGACATTTCTCACCACAGTGATGCTACTCACTGCACTGTGCTGAGCAGGCAGCAACAAGAAAAAAACAACATCTACCAGACCACATAAACCAAGCCTAAACTCACTAACATAAACCTGTGTATCTGACAGACTGAGTTCACAAATAAATACAGAGACACTGATCTTATTCACTACCACAGTGTTTTACAGTCACTGTAAGAGACTGTTTTTGTGCATTTAGCACAGGGACCTGATCCTATTATATGTTCAGTACATTATTTGCCATTCATCCCGAACATCAAAGATTCTTATTGTTTAGGAGAACCGGCTGTGTAACTGCACAGTGACAAAAGGTGTTTTGAATCTAAAATCTTATATGCCATTAAATGTTGTAATTGAGGTAACCAAACTGTACCTCATGATACATTAGTATCCTGATACATGGATATCCCTACTAAGTGATTATATTTATGTTTTTATATATAGTATGGACAAAATGCATTGGAATTGTATGTTCAAAATACTCCTTAACATCACCCTTTCAGTCAAGCATATAGCCTCAATACAATATCAAATAATCATTAAGGTATTACAATTAAGGGTGAAACGGTACATGTATTCATGACAAACAGTTTTGGTATGGGACGTTCGGTTTGGTGCGTGGCTGTGCACGAGCGAGTTCATGCAATTTATGTGTGTTTACATTCCACCATTACATGTGCTGCTAAACGGAAGAACGTTTTATAATTAGGGCAACTGTCTTGACAACAATTACCCCCTGCCTTGACTATGTCCCTCTGAACCATGTGAATCCTCGCAAAATTAGGGTCGTCGCGCTGCGGTCCTCACTATCGCCTTTCGCTGGCACAGAATCTCCGCTACACTGTTACACCCCTAATTACAATACAGCTATCTGGATACAAATATTGAGAAACCATTTGTCACAATATCATTTAGAGATTCTTATAGTCAGACCTGTATTTTTGTGCCATACCTTGACATATTTTGGCTGCACTGTCACTTGATGTGCAAGTGTCACTTGATGTTCAAATACTGTTTGACTATAAGAATCTCTAATTAAAATGAATCTATCATATATAATTTAAGGACAGCCCCAAATATTTTCTGATGCAGTGCTACTAGGTGTGCATACATATATAGGAAAGATTATAGTGATTAATGCCAGATCTTTACCTGGTGGGCACGGCATATCAGATCCAGGTCATGTTTGTGCAGAAACTTGGCAACAACCTCTGAGCCAAAAGTAAAGGAGACGCCGCGGTCGTTCTCCCCCCAGCCCAGGACATCCTTATCTGGATCGGACCAGAGGAGGTCGCACAGAAGCCCCTGGTCTGGAACGTCAGTGGGCCTCATGATCCGGCGAATCTGCTCCATAGACTGAAGGTCGGGGGACAGTCCTGCACCAGCACACACACATGCAAACAAACAGAGGGAACACACTGGTTAGAACATAAGCTGTCATTAGAGTCTGCCTTAAACACTTTACACTGAACATAGGCAGCTATATTTACTCTTGTGCAAAAGAGTTCATGCTCTTTGTGTCCAATAAATCAAAGAAGCATATGCTCAGTATAAATATTGGTTGCATTTTTTGAGCAACCTATCATGCTTATTATTCTAGCTCTTTTTGATCCCAGATCAGTATAATTTTTGCAATATTAAAAGGTGCATTGTGTAACTTTCCTGGTGGAGGGTCCGTCAAATTCTTTTCTCTGTGGAGATGTTGCTTTGTCTGGAATGTTTCATAGCAGAAACAAGCAGGCGATGGACCCCGAACCAAAAAGTTAACCAGTGCACCTTTAAATAACTTCTGCTTTGTTCTTAACCAAAAAAAAACAAAAAAACAGGAGAACAAAAAGTTGTAATTCAAACTATGATTAAAAATAGGCATAACATTTACTCATTCTGATTACATAACTAAGACTGCCTTTGCCAGATAAAAAACAGGACATTGTCAGTGCTGTAAATAGCCTTGTTTGAAATTTCCCACCCTCAAATTAGAATAGCATTTAAATTGATATGTAACTTTTTTGTTGGGGGGTCTGCCACCTGATTGTTTCTATGGATATGCCATTGCTTTGCCTTGAATGTTCCACAGTATAACATTAAACTGCTCTAGATTCCATTTATTATGTAAATTAAGAAGTACTTTGAAAAACAGGCATTCTCACTGTGCCTCTCCACAGATTTGACATGTAACTTGGTCTGGTTTGGTCTCTATGAAGATAGAAAGGTTTAATGCCATACTGTGAAACATTTCAGACAAAACAAAAACATCTCCAAGGAGTAAAGGTACAATATTAAATGTAGTGAGACATTAGACTATTTCACAAATAAACTCATCAGATTTCACATGGGCTCAATTCCTTTTGGAGTTGTGGCAGCACTCACCTCCATGGCAACAGAAAATCTTTTCATCCACAATTGCAGCAATTGGGAGGCAGTTAAAACAATCTGTGAAGGTCTTCCAGAGTTTGATGTTATACCTTCTTTTACCTGAAACAAGAAAATAGACATGTTCAATAAAATAAAAAATATTAATGTTTAAAGGTGCATTGCAAAACTTTTCTGGTGGAAGGTTGGTCAGCTTTTCTCCATAAAAATGTTATTGCTTTTTCTGGAATGTTTCACGTGGCACACTCCACTCATAGTCAGAATGCCAATTTTTCTGGGTATTCTTGAGTAATAAAACCAGCTGTAAATCAATAAATGTTAAGTAGAGCTGCTTAATGACATACTGTGAAACATTCCAGGCACAGCAATGACATATCAATAAAAACAGAACCTCCACCAGAAAAGTCACACAATGCAACTTTAATGTTTTGTTGACCTGGGAATAATAAATAGTTCCATGTGAGCGATTTGCATGTAC